TTCCATTGGGTGCCACTGTTTCTGCAATCATGCTGTCTCAGTATCTCATCGTGCCATTTCTTGCATGTTCCCAAAATCAAGGTGTGATTCTCTCCTTGCTGCTCTGTGATAGTATCCATGAATGTGCTTTTTTCTTTTCTTTCTTAAATTAGCTGGCTTCAAAGAGGTTTTTGCTTAGTTTATTCCTCCTGTTGCCTGTTCCGTTAATGGTGTGGGATCTGCCTGAACAGAGGCCTCTTTATATTATCCCACATTTCATCTGCCAGGTCCTTGCAGTTTGCTACTCTGTTCATCCTTCTTTTGTGTGTCTTTCAGGATTTAAAACTTGAAGCAACTCTACCCTTCGGAAGCTAGCATGGTCTTTAGAGTTCATACTGATTGAAATGTGAATTCTGGCTTAACCACTTAAGTCTATATACCCCTGGGTAGGTTACTAAAGCCCACTGTATCTTAATTTACCTAGCATGTAAAGTTGAAGAAGTGATCACCTCACTCAGTGATTGGTGGCTGAACGCCATAACCGGCTGCTCTGCCTCTGTTGATCCTGGTGCGTAGCATCACTGTCTGTCCAGTTGCACCATTCTGAAACCTGGCCACCATGCTTGGTGTTCCCTGCTCCTTATCCTACCTCCTCATATCCAGTCAGTCATTTAGTCCTGTTAGTTTTTATCCCTAAATGTCATATTCTGTGATATTTATGTTTAAATAACTTTCAAGCATTCATTTTCTGCCTATACAAGTATAATGATCTCCTAACTCTCCCAGGTGAGCAGCTGATCTTTCTAAAGCCCATTCAGTTTTTTCTTCCGTGTGCTTAAAAACCCGTGTAAAAGTGTGTTAAATAGTCGCTCAGTTGTGTCTGACTCTGTGACCCCATGGACTGTAGCCCACCAGGCTCTTCTGTCCCTGGAATTCTCCAGGCAAGAGCACTGGAGTGGGCAGCCACTTCTTTCTCCAGGGAATCTTCCCGTCTTCAGCAGTCAAACCCAGGTCTGCTGCATGCAGGCAGATTCTTTACCATCTGAGCTAACAGGGAAGACCTTAGTGATGCCGTCTGAGGTCCGCACTCCATTGCTTGACAGTTCTCTGCCACACCTACTCTGCTCACCTTCGTTTTTAATTTTTCAAGTTGGAGTATAGTTGATTTACAGTGTTGTGTTTCAAGTGTGCAGCTAAGTGACTCAGATATATAGATATCTTTTTCAGATTCTTTTCCATTGTAGGGTGTTATAAGATACTGAGTATAGTTCCTTGTGCTATACTTTAAATCTTTGTTGTTTATCTATTTTATATATATGGTGGTCTATTTAATCCCATACTCGTGATTTATCCTTTCCCCTAGCTCCCTTTCCCTTTTGGTAACCATAAGTTTTTCTTTTCCTATGTCTCTGTTTTCTGTTTTGTAAACAGGTTCATTTATATCACTTTTTAGATTCCACATATAAGTGATATTTGTCTTTCTAATTTACTTCACTTAGAAGTAAATGTTTCTTTACTTGGTCCACTCAGTGTTGCTGTAAATGGCATTATTTTATTCTTATTTTTATATAATATAATAATGGCATTATTATATTATTATAGACTAATATTCTATTGTGTGTGTGTGTATTTTTTATCCATTCACCTGTTAATGGACACTTAGCTTATTTCCATGTCTTACTGTTGATGCTGTGAATATTGGGGTGCATGTGTTTTTTTGAATTACAGCTTTTGTCTCTTCTGGATATATACTTGAGGGTGGAATTGCTGGATCATACGGCACCTCTGATTTTTAAGGAACTTCCATGGTGTTCTCGTAGTGGTTGCACGAGTTGCATTCCCACCAGCAGTGCAGGAGGGTTCCTTTTCCTCCGTACCCTCTCCAGCATGTATCATTTGTGTGCTCTCTGATTGTGGCCATTCTGAACCATGTGAGGTGGTAACTCGTAGTGTTGGTGTGCATTTCTCTGATGATTAACGATGTTGAGCATCTTTTCATGTGCCTGTTGGTCACTTGCATTTCTGTTTTGGGGAAAATGGCTATTCAGTTCTGTTAATTGGATTGTTTATTTTCTTGATGTCATATGAGCTATTTATATATGTTGGATGTTGATCCCTTATCAGATACATTACCTGCAAATCTTTTCTGCGATTCCATGGAGTGTCTTTTTGTTTTGTAGATGGTTTCCTTTGCTGTGCAAAAGCCTTTACATTTGATGAGGTCCCATTTGTTTATTTTTGCTTCCTTTTCCATGTTAGGAAAATATTCAGCTGTTATGTCTTCAAATATGTTCCCAGGCCCTTTCTCTCTCCTCCTTCTGGGGGCCCCTGTGAATTATTAGTGCATTTGATGGCCTAGAGTTCTCTTAAACTGTCCTCATTTCTTTTCATTCTTTTTTTTTTTGTTCTGCAGCAGTGATTTCCACTACTTTCTTTCAGCTCACTGATCCATTCTCTTCTATCACTTAATCTGTTGTTGATTCCTTCTAATGTATTTTTCATTTCAGTTTTTATATTCTTCATCTCTGGTTGTTCTTTATATTTCCTAACTCTTAAAACTTCTAACTTTTCACTTTGTGCAGAAATTAACTTCTCCCAAGTTCTTAGATCATCTTAAGATCATTACTCCAGACTCTTTCTTGGGTAGATTTGCCAATCTCTGCAGTTTTTTTCTGAAGTTTTATCTAGCTCCTTCATGTGGAAAATGTTTCTCTGCTGCTCATTTGGCCTGAATTGCTACTTGTATTTTTGTGTTTGTGGTAGATTAGTTTTGTTTCTCGACTTGGGAGAAGTAGCCTCGGCAGGATATACTCATTCATGTTTTTTTAAATCATCTCATCTCCCGTCACTTCTCTAGCAGCCTGTAGGCTTTCCCAGCCTCCGTCTTTGCGTATCCTCTTCCTCCTCACTCTGCTTGGCAGGCCTGAATCACATTTTAAGGGCCAGTTCAAGTCTGACCTTTTCTATGATGCCTTTCCATTTTCCCCCAAATATATCCTTTGTCTCTCACTGTACTACTTTCATGAACTTATTTTCTATTAAACATTTATTTGACTGCTTGAATTTACAAACTTCTTAATGAAACCAACATCACTTACTCATTTTTATATTCTCAAGGCCTGTCATATAGTGTCTGGCATGTAGTAAACACCTTTATATCTAATGAATGGATTCAACATGTGAAAGTTCCTAGAGCAGTTGCTGTCAGAAAATGTCAGAAGATGCTTAGTCGTTACATGTCATATTTGTGAAGATATATAACACATTGTATTTCCCAGTTTATGTTAATCTTCCTTACTGGAATGAAGCATGAATCCTTAGTGAACTATCCAAAATCCTTTATAAACATTCTCCCATCTGTCTTTCTAGGTTAGTCTTTTAAAAATTGTGTTCCCAACCTAACAAGCATTTGCCATGCTTTCCTTTTGTTGAGTATCACATCACTAGTGAAGCTGCTGTTACTGATGGAAGTATGTTTCTCTTAAGTGTAAATAGAACCACAGCTGTCCAAATTCTTTTCTAATTTGTTCAGACTAATTATGGAAATTGCCTTGAACTTTCAAGAGAAAATAGAATTTCCCTCTTTTCTGTAATACTTAGTTTACATAGTATACTGTAATGCCATATTATTTTAGTTGTATATATTTGTTACCTACTAGCATATGTGACTTTTGAAAGCAAATATCATGTTTTATTTATCTTTGATGCTCCAGCACCCAGACTTTGCAGTGTTGTTTGATTTTAATGAGCAGAATGATACGAGTTACTCACAAGAGGTCAGTATTGTCTAGGATATTGTGAATAGACATTTGAGAGATGTGGATTACTACTGGCAGGAGAAGCAGAGTTAATAATAGCAGCCAGCTGCTCACACGTGTTGAGCACTCCTTATATCCAGGCACTTCACATGTATTAACACGTTTGTCACCACAACTTCATGAAGTAGGTGCAGTTATTTTCCATCTTTAACAGGTATAGCCAAGCACAGAAGGGTTGAGTCATTTGCCCAAGGTCCCGCAGTTTGGAACTGTAGGACTCAAGCTGGTCATTCCTGTGCTTTACTGTCTCCCGGGGAACATGGAGAACTGGAAGCAGTAAGAAGGCTAGCCCCGTGGGAGCAAGGTGGAGGGCGGTATGTCCTCTCGACAGGACTTAGCTCTAATGACCTTCTCTTTGATACAGTCCAAGATTTATGACAATGGCTGAGGGCAAGATTTCTTAAACTGTAAAGCGAATACATATCGCTTTGGGAATCTTGTTGAAATTCAGATTCTAATTCTGTAGGGCTGAGGTGTGGGACCTGAGATTCTGCATTTCTAACTAGGGTGCTCCCAGGTAGTTAGAGTGCTGCTTCACTGTGGACTCCATTTTGATGGCAAGGGTTTAGGAGTTTCAGTGTCAGAGATATTTTATATGGGACTCTGTTAGGTTCTTGTCTAGAAATTCTCAGAGATTCTGTGTCCTTAATTGGGTGCATAGTTAGGAAGTTGCTGTGGTATAGAGGGCCTGAGACTCTGGACGCCAGTTATTTATCCTCGTTCTTATATTAGAATCCCCTGAGCAGTTGTGAAGACTGTTGATGCTCTGACTGTGCTTCAGAGCCAATAAGGATACCTGATGAGTGGGCCTTTATATTTAAAAAAAGCTTGCAAGTGACTGGAATACTCAGCAAAGGGTTCAAAACCACTGTGAGCAAATTAATTCATCAGTATTAGAACCTAATGTGCTCCTTTTCATGTTAACCAAATCTGTTGTCTATTGATAAAAATTGTATTGTGAAAGTTCCCATGAATTGAAATACTTTAAAATTGCTGTAAAGTCAGGACTAAATGTTAGGCATATGAGGACTATCACCACAGTGTTTTGTTTTGATTAAACTTTCTGCCATTGTTTAGGCTAATGTTCATTTTTTAAGGACTACAAATAAAAATACCAGTAATGCTTTTCTTTTTTCTGTTGAGGATATCTCTGTGAATTCTAGTTGTGTTTTCCTAACCCATTTGTTCTTCTCTTTCCACCAGGGATTTTTTGCCAGGTGGTAGGAGAGATTATACAGTACAAGTTCAGCTGAGGTGAGTTTGAAATTCTTCTGTTACTTTTATACTTGCTAACTATGTGCATATAGTCCTGAATTTGTAAAGTGTAAATTTGAGTACAATATTTAAGAGTTTTGTTTTTTTTTTCTTTAACGCAGACTTTGCCTGGCAGAGACAAGTTGCCCTCAAGAAGATAACTATCCCAATAGTCTGTGTATAAAAGTAAATGGGAAGCTGTTTCCTTTGCCTGTAAGTTGATTTTTATACACCAGGCTTTTGCTTGTGAGTTTATTATAAATACTAACAAGGCTTACAAATCATGACTGCTTAGTGCCAGTGAACAGTCCCAGCATTAAATACTGTTTTCCATTAGATTCATGGCTCCTTGCAGAAGTGGCAGATTCCAGGTCTGGGGGAGATGGAAAAGATGAGCTTGAAGCATCTTGTGCCAGGAAGTAAGGAAGCTGTGAGAGATTCTTAAGATGATTTTAAAAGGCATAGCAGCAGGCCAGGACCTGTAGGGAAGGACATTAGGGCAGCATGTTGCAGTGGACGTCTGAATGAGCTGGCCCTGGGCCTTGGATGAGATGGTGAAAGTTAGAGGCTGCTGAGGACAACTGGACATGCTGATTGAGGATTCCAAGCGTGAGCCTTGATGGTGCACACCCTTGAGAGATGGATGCAGTGGGGTTTGATTGACAGCCTGTTGAGAGAGAGGGAGAGACTCTCTCTCTCTCCCTCTCTGTCTCTGTCTGTATAGCCTGTTTCTGACCTGATAGATGTCAAATCTTAAAATAACAATTGTTGAACAGGAGTATGTATCTGGCTCCACTGAGGTTTGAACTAAACGTCAAATTTGCTACAGCTGTGTGGCAGTAAAGCTGTAATCTCAATAGTAGTGCATGGCCTGTTTTTCAGAGTGGTTATGTATCTTAACTGAAGAAGTGCTGTGAGAACAGTGATTCTCCCATGATGCTAAGCTGCCATATTCAGCAAAGCAGGCACCATTTGACATGGAGATGAGGTGACTGTTTAGCATTCCTGCTGAGTGCAAGATTTGGCTCTGAAATAAGTAATATGAGCAACAGCTGTGAGCAGCTGAGCAAGCCAGACAACAAAGTCTAGAAATCTCAGCTCTACCAGGGCCAGGTGATTGTAGTTGAACCCCAAAGTGACAATGGCCTGTGGCCAAGGCCGACCCCTGTACTCGAAGATCTGACTTATTGGTTGTCCGGAGTCTCATTTCTGTCGTCTATAGCCTGTGGATTTATATGATTTACATGGGCTTTTGCATGTTCAAAACCCAGGGGGAACATTTTGCATCTTGGGTTTCTGGCTGTAAGCAACAGGGATCTCAGGAGCTGTCTTTTATCTGGATGAATCATATAAAGATCTAAACCAGGGGAAGAAGAAGGCTTAATTGGAACTAAAGGATGCCACTGGGTGGCCAGATGTGTGGCAGAGGAAACCTAAGATTTTGGAATGATAGCACATTTTCCATGGCTTTTCATTTCCAATTTTCTTTGTCTTGGATGGGCTAAGATTTCTTTTGACCTTTGACTTTTATTGCTGTTTAACTCTGTCACTCTCCTTAAAGAAATATCTGACTATGATAATCTTCTTGGTGTCTATAGACCCACCTGGAAGATCTGTCCAGTATTAAATGATTGTGCTAGTTTTGGGGAGTTGTGTCTCTGAAATATGTGAGGCTGTACTTAAACTCTGGTATTGCTGCCGAAAATACAATGGTTACAGAACTGTACACACATGTTCCACAAAATATTCCAAGGGGACCAGTCAGTGGCATGCTTTGGTATAATAATTCTATCTTTAAGATCTACAGCACCACTGTGGATAGCTCTGAATTTGTCACTCTTTCAGGACTGATGAGAGAGAAAACTTAGGTAGTTGAGCACGTTCTCTGGGACACTGTTGCTCATCACTGCTGGTCTCTCTCCAAAAACACTAACCAACCCTTGAATACTTAGACTAGGGATGTTGGTGAACATACTGACTACTATGTGGTGAGTCCCACACTCACCTCTGGAGCCAGGGTAGCTCCAGGGGCACTTGTGAGGGAGATGAAGAAATGGAACATAGGACAAAGGATGTCAAAACAGATTGCAGAAACAGAAGGCAATGGAGAGGTGGTGGGGGCAAGGGGGAGCTTGCCTGACACTAATAGGGTGGTCCCAAAGATCAGATGCCAGCCTTTCCCAGACACATTCTTCATCTTTAGCCTTGTGAATTCCTGTGGGACAGCGGACATAAAGGTACATAGAACTGCTGGAGAACTATTGAGACCTTCCCTTGATCCACGATTGAGATATTGTAATATCCCAATATTGGGATATAGATTGGGGTAATGTAATATGGGCATTGACTGGCATGTTTATGAGAATCAGGTGAGTATACTGCCACCTTAGGAGAAGAATTGAGCTCTTTACCACCATGGAAATCTTCAGGGACTTTATTCCAATTGTGAGAAGCATCAGCAGGCCACAGAGAAGTTTGACATGTGGTCTTTGCCCATGATCCTGGTTTATTACACAACAGATCTAGGAGGAATGAGCTTTGACAGTCATGCCGATTTCCCATTAGGGCTCTGAATAAATTTGAGTTTGTGTCCTGGAACAAGTCCCTGTCTGTATGACCTTATTGCGGTATGCAGTCATGGATCCATAATGGTCGGAAACTCTACTGCCTGAACAGAGAGTGAACTGAATGGAAAATGGTGTTCCCTTGACAATAGCAGTGTGTCCCTGGATAATAAGGGTCAAATAGTGATGAAAGCAGTTTATGTGGTTTTTTTTACCCAGATCAAGATGATGACTTTAACATTTAAAAGATACTTTTATCCATTGATTTTCCAGTCTCTTGATAACAGGGATGACAGTAAGCAGCTCATAGCAGGGCTTGTAGAATGACATGTGCAGTGAGGGCAGACACAAGTGGAACGGCTTCCAGGAACATTCCCCGTACCTCCATCTTTGACCCAAATGCTGCCATTGTACAGACTGACCACCCAATGAGGAAATTTTGTTTTTGAGGGTAAGAGAGAGGGGAAAAAAAAGACCCTCTTTGCCTGGAGAGTTTTGAAAGGCTAAATTATTTTTCCTTTTAGACAGATTTTGAGAAATGGATGTAAACCTGTGGAGCTGTGAGGTTGGGGGTGTGTGGGGGGGTTGGCGTGGAGGAGTGTTTCTTGTAGAGATTCCAAAGAATGGAGAGGATGTGTGCTGCAGTGCAGCCGGCAAAAATCTCCTGTTTCCTCTCATTGCAGTGGGAGACATGTCAGTACCAGTGCCATCATCTTAACGTATTCTCTTTCTGAGTTTGTGGATTTCTTTTTCCTGATACATAATTTTTTCCCTGAATATATTAATTATGCTGATGGTCTGCCTCACAGTAAATCTGGTGTAAAGTAGAATCAGTATTTTCTTTTGTTAAAATGAACACACACATGCTCCAGTGTGAAGAGATTTCCTTGGCCTAAGATGGGATAATATTGGCATCTAAAATATAATACTTAAATAGACTCAAAATTTTCAAACATAAGTGAGTTCATAATTATGCTAAAATAAACCATTGGAGGTTGCATCAACTCATTGCTCTAAAAATTGATAAAAGAGAGAATTCTTGATTTCGGAGTAACCAAATGTTGATGTGGTCAAATTGTTTATGGAAAGGTTTAATACAAGCAAACCTTTTTTTTCTTTTTTTTTTTTTTTTTGGTAATCCCTGAATCATATAATGGATCTAGGTAACCATGATCAGTGAATACTGAAACCACTAGGTCACAGGTAGATGGGAGGGATCAGGCTGACATAAGCTGAACTGATCGACCTTGCCATCCCTGAAAATGGAGCAGACAAACATTATGCACCTCATGACGTGGTACAATAGGAAGTCCGTAGCTTCTCTATGAAGTTTTTGTCTCTGAAAATTTGAACCTGAATCTAGTCAGGTCTATGCAACTAATTACCAGCTTAAAACATGGCGTGTCACATCTTCAAATTGTGAGGAAGCAGTCAACCAAATCCAGAAGATGAGAATATTCTTCAGATCAAGGGCCCTGGGGCCCCCAACAGAACAATAGCATCAGAAACAGTAGGAGTTGGGGCAGAGGGTGAAAGAGTATAAAAATTACTCTTTAGTGTAGAGTGAAGGAGACTTTAGAGACAGCTGAGCACATTGTGAAGCTCTAGTTTGGATTCTGATTCAGACTCTTAAAGGGACATCTTATATGCCAAACTGTGTATGGATAAAATAATGTGTCTGGGATACTTTATATAATACTCTGAGATGGGCGAAGACTATGTATAAGTACCCTATTGAATTGGGTGATAGTTTGTTTAGACTTTTTCTCTAGTTTTGTATACATTTGAAAGTTTCAGTAATAGAATAAAAGACATCTTTGAGGCAGATGAGAAGTTACAATATAAACTAGATATTAGACAATTTTTTAAATCATGGTTAATTTTGTAAGGTTATGATACTGTTTTTATTTCCTGAGGTCTTTCAAAGATGCATATAAAAGTATGGGTCCAGTCACATGTGTAGAAGTTGCATTTAAAAAATACTTGGGCAAAAATAAAGGTGTATATGTGTGGAGTCCCCTTCATAGATCATAGCCTTGTTGTGGCAAAGGGGTTTGTGTAACCCAATGAAGCTATGAGCCATAGCAGGCAGGGCTGCCCAAGAGGGGCGGTTCATAGTGGAGAGCTCTGACAAAATGTCATCTATTGGAGAAGGGAGTGGCAAAAAACTTAAGTATTCTTACCATGAGAACCCCATGAACAATACAAAAAGGTGAAAGATAACCACTCCAGAAGATGAGTCCCCCTCCCAGGTAGGTGTCCAGTATGCTACTGGGAAAGAGCAGTGGACAGTTACTAACAGCTCAAGGAAGAATAAAGAAGCTGGGCCAAAGTGGAAACGACGCCCAGTTGTGGATGTGTTTGGTGGTGAAAGTAAAGCCCAATGCTGTGAAGAACAGTATTGCAAAGAACCTGGAATGTTAGGTCCGTGAATCAAGGTAGATTGGATGTGGTCAAGCAGGAGATGGCAAGAGTGAACATCTGTCTCAGGATTCAGTGAACTGAGATGGACAGGAGTGAGCGAATTTAGTTCAGGTGACCATTATGTCTACTACTGTGGGCAAGAATCCCTTAGAAGAAATGGAATAGCAATGTTTTGTGCAGTGATGGGCACAATAAAGGGCAGAAGTGGTCAGGACCTAATAGAGACAGAAGAGATTAAGAAGAGGTGGCAAGAATACACAGAAGAAGTATACAAAAAGTGTCTTAATGACCTGGATAACCACGATGGTGTCACTCATCTAGCGCCAGACATCCTGGAGTGTGAAGTCAAGTGGGCCTTAGGAAGCATCACTTCGAAGAAAGCTAGTGGAGGTGAGGGAATCCAGCTGAGCTGTTTCAAATGCTGCACTCAGCATGTCAACAAATTTGGAAAACTCAGCATTGGTCACAAAAAAAGATCAGTTTTCATTCCAGTACATAAGAAGGGCAGTGCCAAAGAATGCTCAGACTGCTGGACAGTTGTACTCATTTTGCATGCTAGTAAAAATTATTCTCAAAATTCTTCAAGCTAGACTTCAGCAGTATGTGAACTGAGAACTTCCAGATGTACAGCTGGGTTTAGAAAAGGCAGAGGAACTAGACGTCAAACCCAGTGTTTGTTGGATCATAGAGAAAGCAAGGGAATTCCAGAAAAACATCTGCTTCATTGACTATACAAAAACCTTTGATTGTGTGGATCACAACAAACTGGAAAATTCTTAAAGAGATGGTAATACCATACCACTTTCACCTGAGCAACTTGGATGCAGGTCAAGAGAGCATTTTTATCCCTCACAAGATTTTAATAATTCCTTTGAAATTCCCCAACTTGCTCTTTTTAAAAAATTTTCAGAGTTCGTTTTCCCTCTTTGTCACCCCTGGTATTTGAATGAATGCGAGTTCCTAAAATGAATCAGTATAAAAAGATTCAACTTTATTGTTTAAAAAAGGAAAAAACAAATCATAGCCAATATGGCAAGATCTCAGCACCTTTGATTTTAATGGAGCATGGAATTTTTGTTCTTGTATTTTTCTGGATTTGCAAAATATTCAACATTTTTAAAAGGTTATTTTCCTCTTCTGGGTTTTGTGTGATTTCTGGGATAAAATAAAAGAATTTAGTGTGACTGAAATTAGGCAAGATACTGTACTTGGAGAAAATGTTTGCTCCTCTGCAGAGAATTTTAAATTGCTTTTCTTTTTTATGGTTATAGGGCTATGCACCACCACCTAAAAATGGGATTGAACAGAAGCGCCCTGGACGCCCTTTGAATATTACATCTTTAGTTAGGTTATCCTCAGCTGTGCCAAACCAGATTTCCATTTCTTGGGCATCAGAAATTGGAAAGGTAAAGATTCTTTTCTCTGAGGAGCATGAAAGTGATTCCTCTAGGTGGTATTGATTTACTTTGCTTTTTCTTAGACTACTAGTGAAATCTCGTTCACTTTTCTGTTTTTAACCCCCAAAAGCCATAATTTTCAATTCAGGTAGAGATGTGAGATTCTTAAAGGTTAAAACTTTAATGTTTCTTCAGTAGCATCTCTCTGTTATCTTCCAAAGGAGATAAGTACCTTAACAGTATTTCTTAAGTTAATGGTTAATCATACTTGTGTTTATGTGTGTGTTTTAAGTGGTATTTTAAGAAAGTGGGAGTTTGGGCTACTGTTATATATTTATGAAGAGGGATGAAGAAAGCTTTATGAGGCTTTGGGGGAAATGGTTAAATGTACTCCTGTTGTGATTAGACATAATATATTCCGGCCTTTATATGCTCTGCTGATACTTAAATAAAGTGAGCATCTTATAATATTTACTTATATTTACATTTAGTAGAAAATATTTACTTAGATTTGTATTAATTCCTCCATACTTTTAGATTTGATGAACCTGGGTTTCTGAAGATTCTTAGTCTTAAAAAGCTTTTTGTCAATTATGAAATACTGATTAATACAACAAGGGATTTCCATTTTAGAACTGCTTATTTACATAACTGAAGTAATAGAAATGGCAGAGATTTCAATTAATTTCTGATCATCAGCTTTAATGTTGGAATTTCATAGAAATAAAGGATAGCTTTCCTATTCATGGATGGAGAAGTTGAGTCATGTTTGTAGCCAGAATTAATTTGGTTTTATCACCGAAGTAATTGCCGAGCTGGACATAATGAATATTTTGTATTAATCTTTGGTCTGTACAGATACTAGGACCTCTTTAATGATTGTTCTCTTTAGCTCTCATTTCTGAATTTTTACTATAATTTGTTTATCTAAGACACTGATCCCTAATATTTTTTATTTGCATGAACTTAAATGAACAGTGATGTAGCACTGGATAAGGATTCAGGAAGTCTTGGCTTAGTCTCAAGTTAGCAAATTGTTTGATTTTTGCAAAATTGCTTAATTCTCTGGAGCCTGCTTATTATGAACAATAAGTAAAATCTTGAGAATGGGCATTATATACAAATATAAGGGACATTATTAACTGAGCCAGTACTAATGCTTTAATGTTTAGTGAGATAATAAAGTTTTTTGAGAGAAATTTGAGCAGGAAAGCAGTATATTTTTTTGAAATGATTATGACCTTATAGATTTTGTTTTTGAGTAAATTGCATATATTGAAGGCTTAACAGTTTTTTTTTTTTTTTTAAAGTCCCATATTATGGCTGCCCTGGTAGCTCAGCTGGTAAAGAATCTGCATTCAATGCAGGAGACCATGATTTGATTCCTGGGTTGGGAAGATCCTCTGGAGAAGGGTTAAACTACACACTCCAGTATTCTTGGGCTTCTCTGATGGCTTAAGTGGTAAAGAATCTGCCTGAAATGTAGGAGACAGACCTGGGTTGGGCAGATCCTCTGGAGAAGGGAAAGGCTACCCACTCCATTATTTTGACTTGGAGATTTCCAAGGACAGAGAAGCCTGGCAGGCTACAGTCTATGGGGTCTGAAAGAGTCAGACATGACTGAGCGACTATCACTTAATGGAAATAATATTCTTTCCTTGCAATTGTAATGATTAAATTTGTATACTCTTTTGGGTAGTCAGATATGTGAAAGGACTGTGGCAGGATGTTAAAAATGATATTTAAAGTATTTGGTCTGGCAACTATTGAAAGTATTGTAGAATCAATTGAATGAGTATGTGTAGTGAACTGGTAAGATGGGTTTTAAGTATTTAAGTAAAATTATATATCATCTCTTAATTGCTTTATAAATAACTCATGAAAGTTCCTTTTTGCCAAGTCTAAGAGGGTATGGAATTGGATGCTATTATTTTCTCACCTTGTATTTTTTATTTTTATTATTTCTTCATGTGTCTTATATACTACAGTAGCTTCCCCTTCCCCAGTAAAATGCCCATTTGGAAATAGCAATTAATTTGTCAAATTTTTTCTCAAAAGAAAGCTGATTTGGGGTTCATGTGAATAATTTGCCTAAGGTCATGTAGCAGGTATCTGCCAAAATTAGAACTGTGGAACTCTGGATTAGAAATATTAATTTAGACCACAGGTGTTTGAACTTTGTTTCTGTAGTGGAACTCATTTTTCATTGAATGTATTTTCCCTATTACGTAAAAAACAGAAAATTCTATTTAGAAGTGTTCATAGAAGGGTGTATTCTCATTTATACTAAGGTGGCTCCTAAGGTACCAGTTTTGCTAAGTTAGAAACAAAGCTTGAAAACCACTGATCTGAGCATTTTATTTTTCGCATAGATGTTTTAAAGTGGTAAGTCATTGAGAAATACCTTTAATAGGGTGAAGCATTCATCTTCCCTAAAGTAACTGAGTTGATTTTATTCCCTTCCCAGTCACTGACTTTCCTGTATAAGTTATTTTGAATGTTGTTTTTAGAAACCAGAGTTTCTTAGACAAGTGTTTTATGTAAATAACTATTATCTCTCATCTTTAATACAGATTATCTTTCTTTGTAGAATTACTCCATGTCTGTGTATCTTGTACGACAGCTCACATCAGCCATGTTATTACAGAGATTAAAAGTGAAAGGTATTAGAAACCCTGATCATTCCAGAGCACTAAGTGAGTATTGTCTGTAAGACTGAGCATATGAGATGGCTTTAAATGGAAATTTTTAAAGCTTCACATATACATCCATACAGAAACAATTTGGGAATAATTATTAAAAACCAAAAATAAATTATGAGTTAAAAATACTCTTAAGAATGGAGCTGTATAAATTGAAAAACCCTTCTCTTAGAAACTGCTACCAAGAGGATGAAGTTTGAATCTCAACTAATATTGATATTTTGCCTTTTTATAAGAAGTTACTTTGGTAAATGTCTGTTGGCAGTTTTGATGTCTGCGTTGGGAATAGGAACGCAAATCTTCAAGTCCTCCAGTGTATAGTGTGCTATACTTTTAACTTAAAAGGTCTTTTTGCAAAAGAAATGTTGATATCCATCAGAAATAATATTTGCCTTCTGAGATGTTTTATTTTGTACTTTGATACTTTCATGCTGTATAATAATAGAGGAAAAAATGTGTAACCCAAGCTGTAAATAATTTAGTAACTGATGTTAATTGAACAAGACGTTTTTTTCTGGGAAAGAGAATATTTTTCCCCCAGTTACGTCCCATATCACTGAATGAACCAGAAAGGAGAGAGAATCTGTGGGTTGGAAAGGGAGCCAAGTAGGGCTGTTGAAATGGTATTTTGTTTCTTATACTCAAACCATTTCTCATCTCACACAACACAGCGTTGATCTTCCTGTCTAGAACTGAAAGCCAGGAAAATTCTTCCACAATTATTCTTACTGCCGAAGGTTCCACTCTTTCTAGTTCCAGTCCTGTTCTCCCTGTCATGATGTTGAGAATTAGGCATCTGAAGGCAGTTTATGTATTTATTAGTCTGTGTCAACAGTAACTTGTATGTATTATGTGGTGAAGAAGATAGCAGATAATCCTACATCCATAGTAGTTTTCAGTAGTCGAAGTATAAAAATATTTTACCTTTTCTTAAAAAGTATAAGAATATTTTGTTTGTAAAATTATTTACAGATTTAACAATTATTGGAAATTACATGTACTCCCTAATTAAAATAGTCATACATGTGTTTTAGAAAAGTACTGAAGCTCAGAGTACAGCTGCCTTCCCTAATTGTATTGTTCTTAAGTCTGAAACAGCTCTCTGTTTTAAAAACTCTTCCTTACCCATGATTTTACTTGTAAAAAGGGATCTTAAAAATTTGATTAAACATGTCATTTAGAGTTTGTAATTCTTTAACCTAATACTGGAAGTGTGGCTGTGTGTTCAGTACATTAATACTTAACATTTTGTTTTTGAAGTTTCTTGATCTGTTGAAGTGTTTGGGAAATTTTAAATAAGATGGCATATGTTTCTATAATTCAGTTCATAAGTCACAATTTTTTAAGCGTTGTGTTTATTGTTGATTTTCCCTCAAGTTAAAGAAAAACTTACTGCGGATCCTGACAGTGAGATTGCTACCACTAGCCTTCGGGTGTCCTTGATGTGCCCTGTAAGTAAAGCAGCGAAACATTATGAGGCATTTTGCTTTTTTATAAGTTACTAATTTTCCTATAACAGTAGGTATGGGAATGAATGATACAGTATAAAATTTTGAACTTTTTTGGTTTCCCATTCAAGAATCTTCATGGATGAGGATTATAATTCCAAAGAAAGCAAGCATTCTTCAGGCAGTGACTAAGCAAAAAGAGATGTAAAAGGATATTGTATCGAAGAGGAAAGAGAGCTTTAGGTTCACAGTAATCTGTCACTGCTAATTGTAGATAATCCACAGCTAATACTGAACATAGAGGGTTGGCTCCTTTTATCAGCATATAAACTGTGTTGAAAAATAGCAACAAAATTATTAGGGCCTAATGCTAATTGATGGGAGAAATCAGGAATAGTGGATGAAGGCTTCTTTAAAATCACTATTGGGAAGGACCCTTTCTGGATGAGAGGAACTTTATGAGAAAAGTCCTAGAATTAGGAATTTATGGTATGGTTGGGGGGGACGGTTGGGTTTGGCAACCAGCTACCATTGTGTACAGTTTTTTAAATGGAAAGAGAATTGTGTCAGAGAAGGGGATAATTTGTTGAGCTCGTATTACATGCTGCTTAGACTGTCTTAACTAGCAAACCTGTGTGGAGTTGTTCCCATTTTGCTGATGAGGACCCTGAGACTGAGAGGGGTTGCTAACCCAGATCACACATTTAGGTTATACTACAACAAGGATAGGAGAAGGCAATGGCACCTCACTCCAGTACTCTTGCCTGGAAAATCCCATGGATGGAGGAGCCTGGTGGGCTTCAGTCCATGGGGTCGCGAAGAGTCGGACACGACTGAGCGACTTCACTTTCATTTTTCACTTTCATGCATTGGAGAAGGAAATGGCAACCCACTCCAGTGTTCTTGCCTGGAGAATCCCAGGGATGGGGGAGCCTGGTGGGCTGCGTCTGTGGGGTCACACAGAGTCGAACACAACTGAAGCGACTTAGCAGCAGCAGCAGCAGAACAAAAATAAAGAGTTTGGTCTTCTGACATTATTCCAGTTTTCTTGACAAGGTAACATATTGCACATGGGGCCAAAAATATAAATATTCTGATTATAAATCTACCTCTCTGTTATTCGGAAAAGCAGTATTTGCAGGTATCTTTCTTTCTAAAGCTTTATTATGTATTATCATTTCCTTGAACTTACCTTTATTGAAAAGAATTACATGAAATTGGGATTGCTTCCAAACTGGGACTCTGTGGTTGTGAGTGGAGAGAAGGTCTGCAGGAAGACTTTGATGCCCTGAGGTGGCAGCGGAGGCCCTCGAGGGCGCGTGTTGAGGCCCAGGGGCTTCTCTAGGCACCGAGCGTCAGTCCATCTGAGTGTCCTCGCCTTTTTCTCCTTCCCATGTTAAAATTGATAGTAAATTGAAACACATGCAATTTCCATTTTGTTAGTCAGAAACAGTTTGGATAATAGAAATTTCTTAATGGTTTAACCCTAGTGTAGTTGGCAGATACTCATTGCTGGCTATATTTTAAGCACAGCCACTGTTTGGGAATGGAACTTGTGTTACCTTTGTGTTTTAGTATGTCAGCCTGTTGTCAGGAAGAAAGCACTTCTCTCTGTTTCTCTTTACAACTAAGAAGTTGTACAGTTACAAAGTGCTGTGTTCTGTAAGTTTTTTTTTTTGAAGCATTCTTGTTTGTGTGTGTTTTTCCTCTTTTCCTTCAAACGCTATGCTATTCTACATGACAACAACCAAAACAATAACCAAATTGTTGGATTCTTGGACATTCAAAACAGTGAAAGTGGCGTATTGAAGTGGTTGGGATTTCTCCTGTATAAGAATGGGTTCCTTTCAGATGTGTCAGTTTTAAGAAAACCAACAGTTTTAAGAAAATTACCAGTTCTGTTATTTGAAGAAATACAAGATCCTGTTTAAAGTTCATTAAATGTTTTCTTTCTCTGCTTACAAGTGAGAACAGATCTGTTTTGAGACTGTCTTTTGAGCTTTTCCTCAATATTCATTCTACCTGATTTTTTTCAGAACATTTTCTAAGAAAACAGTGAATGGTACTCTTCAGACTGTCCTAGTGTTAATATACGTTGGGTTGATAACTGTAGGATGTGGTATATGTTTTTAGAAAATCAAGCATAGGTGTTTTGAACAAACTTAGCAGATAGATGATGGAATTTAGATTATGAAAGTAGTTTTAGAGGCAGAGACACTATAGCGAATGGAAATAAGACAGGAACTAGGATGGTGATGGGACCTGGCGAAGAAAGAAAGGATTATAGGCAGTTGGCAGGATAAGCCTAAAAAACCCTGGGTTTATTAGGCAAAAATTAGGGAAAAGGATAGCTTAAGGTGGTGGGAGAAATGTTCTGTTTTCATGATATGTGAAATGTTCTGTTTTGTAAAGTGATTTAGAGTAGACATGAATGTGGATAGTGAGAGTGTAGTCTATGATATCTGTCCTTGGGACCTAAGGGAGCTATGTTTTCAGTACTAGTTGTTAAAGAGGGGTCTGATTGAGTGTGTATAATTAACTTTTTGAACACAGTATTGTAATTTTACACAGAATTGAGATTGGACTGAAAACTGACCTTTTCTAGTCCTGTGGCCATTGCTGAGTTTTTCAAATATGCTGACATGTTGAGTGCAGCACTTTAACAGCATCTTTTAGCATTTTAAATAGCTCAGCTGGAATTCCCTCACCTCCACTAGCTTAGTTCATAGTAATGCTTTCTAAGGCCCACTTGACTTCACACTGCAGGATATCTGGCTCTAGGTGAGTGACCACACCATCGTGGTTATTCCTGTCACTAAGACCTTTTTTGTATAGTTCTTCTGTGTATTCTTGCCACCTCCTCTTAATCTCTTCTGCTTCTGCTAGGTCTTTACCCTTTCTGTCCTTTTTCATGCCCATCCTTGCATGAAATGTTCTCTTGATCTCCCCAATTTTCTTGAAGAGATCTCTAGTCTTTCCCATTCTGTTTTTTTCCTCTACTTCTTTGCATTGTTTATTGGAGAAAGTCTTCTTATCTCTCCTTGCTGTTCTCTGGAACTGTGTTCAGTTTGGTGTACATCCCTTGCCTTTGGCTTCTCTTCTTTCCTCAGCTATTTGAAAAGCCTCCTTGTATAACTACTTTGCCTTCTTGGATTTCTTTTTCTTAGGGATGATTTTGGTCACCACCACCTGTCCAGTTATGAACCTCTGTCCATACTTCTTCAGGCACTCTGTCTACCAGATCTAATCCCTTGAATCTATTCATTACATCCACTGTCTTATCATAATTAATTATTATTTGGGTCATATCTGAATGGCCTAGTGGCTTCCCCTACTTTCTTCAATTTAAACCTGAATTTTTCAGTAAGGAACTCATGATCAGAGCCACACTCAGATCCAGGTCTTGTTTTTGCTGACTGTATAGAGCTGCTCCATCTTCAGCTACAAAGAACATAATCAGTCTGATTTTGGTATTGACTCTCTGGTGACGCCCACGTGTAGAGTCTCTGTTGTTGAAAAGGGTGTTTGCTATGACCAGTGCGTTTGCTTGGCAGAATTCTGTTAGCCTTTGCCTTGCTTCATTTTGTAATCCAAGGCCGAACTTGCGAATTACTCCAGGTATCTCTTGACTTGCTGCTTTTTCAATTCAATCCTCTATGATGAATAGGACATCTTTTTTTGGATCACTACCTTGTCGGGGCGAAGGGTCTTCTGTAACTCAGTAAAGCTATGAGCCGTGCTGTGTAGGGCCACCCCAGATGGTTGGGGCATAGTAGAGAGTTGTGACAAAACGTGATTCACTGGAGGAGGGAATGACAAACCAGTCCATCAGATAGATTTTCTGTCAGAATAAGAGAACTGGTTATAAACAGATTTTTTTGTAAAGGGAATATACAGGGAAGTTTGAACGGCTTTACAGAATAACTTGGTCTGATCTAATCTGGATGTTATGTATGTCTTGATGTTCGTATTCCTCTACCAATTGGAATAAGAATTGAATAGAAAACTAGTTTTATCAGTATACCGACACTTCAACATATGTGATTATATGAAAGTAAAAAGTTTTCTTTCTTAAGTGAAAAATACATTTGCAGTTCATATCACATATATGAGACTGACTGGTATAGGTAACCAAAGATTAATAACCAAGTAGAAAATCAAGAAGGTTTTGAATAGACAGTTTTTGGAAGCACAAATGACACTTAGAAGCTATAAAAAGCTCAGCTTCACTTAGAAGTGTATTATAAAACTATAATGGGGTGTTTTTCACCTGTCAGATTGGCAGAGGTTAAAGGGTTCAAGAACTTCTATGTTGATAAGGTTGAGGGGAGCCAAGCACATTAATACATGTATATATGTAAATCACTAGGTAATTTCTGTGAAAGTTAGTTTGTCATTGGGACAAAAATCACAGATATGCTTGGACTCAAAATTTTTCCTTCTAGGAATTTATCCCATAGCTATTTATTGCAGCATCATCTGTAGTGATAAAGGATTAGAAACAGTTTAAATATAAGTACAGAATTGTGTGAATTGCGTGCCACCATTTCTGTGAAAATATTTTTTAAAAGACGCTTGATTATGCATAGACCATCTGTGAAAGGACATGCAAGAGATGGATAGCAGTGTTCCCTTTAAATAGGGGAAGAAATGAAAAAGAAACATGTTTTCATTTTTTAAAAAATTTATTTTTAATTGAAGGATAATGCTTTAAATGTTTTCATTTTAAATGTATCTTTGTCTACCTGTGATTTTACAAGTTTTACTTACTTTCAGAAAGTGAAATGGTCTTCTAAAAATTATAGCTCAAGCAGTGAATACAAATACAGTATGTTGGAGTCTTGATGGAAATAAATTCTGGTTTGAATTTCTTTTTCATTTTGTTAATCTTGTATGACTTCTTCAGGTTTTTATGACTTGAGGCTTTGTTCTCCTTTCTGAAATGACTTTCCATGTTGTCTTCTAGTTAGGGAAAATGAGGCTGACAATCCCATGCCGTGCGGTCACTTGTACACATCTACAGTGTTTTGATGCTGCCCTTTATCTGCAAATGAATGAGAAGAAACCCACCTGGATTTGTCCTGTGTGTGACAAAAAAGCTGCCTATGAAAGTCTAATTTTAGATGGGTAAGTATATCCAACATAATAATTATGCTCAATCTTATTTTTAAACTGTAGTTAGTGGCCCTTCTGTCTTTACAATATTACAGTGTTGGGGGCAAGAGGGTGAGTAGTTTCCTTTTCTTTTTCTTTCCATGATCAAATTTCATTACCTACAGGAAAGAGGGTAAAATCCACTTAGTGATCTCATTTTGCTTATCTAGAACTAGAAGAGCAATGAAGTCTCTGCAAAAACATACTAATTAAGTGGTAGGGTAAATAGAGTTGTGTTATGCAGCTGGTAAGTTTAAAATGGGAATTCACTTCTAGGTTTTTCTGACTCTGGAGCCCAAACTCTTAAGCAGCATCGCTCATATTGTGTATGTTGAAATTAAGGAAAATAATACAACTTAATTGTTAGTAAGTAATGTGTATATACATTATCATTTTCATTCAATATAGAGTGAAAAATAACCTATATCTTTAAAGATATTATGCAGCAGGTTTTTTGAAGTTTGAAAAGAGTATTACTATATAAAGAGGAATGAGACAGTAAAGAGTGGTGGGACTTCTTCTGTCTGTAAACTTTTACTTTTTAACTTGCTTTGAAATAATTTAAAACTTACCAAGACGTTGTTAATAGTAGCATAATGTGTCAGTTGTTCATTCTGCCCTATTGTTTTACCACATTGCCTCCTATTTTGTATGTATTTGTGTGTGTGTGTGTTTGTGTATGGAGAGAAGATGATTATCACTGTTCTCAGGAACCTTTGAACCATTTGAGAAGAAGTTGCATGTTTCATGCCCTTTTGCCCATTCATATTTTAGGGTGTGCTTCCTGGATACTAGACACTGTGTTGTGGGTACACTGCTTATCATTAATGTGTTTTAGAGAGTTCCGGAGGTTTTATTTGAACAAACACTTGTTTTTTTGTCAGAAACTTCCAAGATTTCATTTCCCCCCCCTTTCATTCATGCAGTTCTTTTATTCTATTATGCATTCTTTCATGAATTCTTTCAACATAATATTAATTACTTGCCTTGTGTCAGGTCTAAAATGGAGACAATAAAGAATTGTGTAGTAAATGTTAAGTGTTGTGAAGGTAAAGAATGGAACTCTGTGAAGAGAACTGGGGATGGGAAAGAAACTGCTAGTGGGGAGTATGCGATCGCATTACTACACCCCACCTGATTGTTGGTCAGTAGGCTCACCAACACTTAATGAATATTATCTCTTCATAGGTTTAGGACACTGCCTCCGTTATTTAAAAATTTTTATACACAAGTGTCATTTCTGTGCTGTTATTTGTGCTGTTGATCAAAGTATTGTTCAGTGTAAAACTTTTAATTATTGGATTTCTGTTCTGCATTAATATCTCTCAGGCCGTATGAATCAGAATTTTCTTGACCATCATTGCAGCTGGCCGTATTCACTTGAATGAAAGCATTCTTAAATTACACAAATCTTGTTTTGATTTTGATTGGAATTTTCTTTTTCATATAATTGGGAAAAATACATATTTAAAGTTTCACATCATCTAAGGAAGGTAGCGTTTTTCCTCATTCATTTTTATCAGTTTTACTGTGGTAGAAGAACTATCCCTATCTAAAGTGTACAGTTTGATACATTTTGACCCCATATATACCTGAAATATCATTAAAATATGACAACAAATATGTCTGTCACACCTGAAGTTTTCTCAGTTCTTTTGGGACTCCATGGACTGTAGCTCACCAGGCTCCTCTCTCCATGGGTTTCTAGGGGAGATACTGGGATGAGTTGCCATTTCCTTCTCAGGAGGGCTTCCTCACCCAGGGACCAAACCCGTGGCTCCTGCATTTGCAGGTGGGTTCTTTAGCTCTCAGCCACCTGGAAAGCAAGGTGGCTGGAGAAGAAAATGGCAACCCACTCCAGTATCCTTGCCTGGAGAACCCCATGGACAGTATGAAAAGGCTTAAAGATAGGATGCTGGAAGATGAGCCCCCACAGGTCAGAAGATGTCCAGTAAGTTACTAGGGAAGAGTGGAGGGCTGTTACTAATAGCTCCAGAGAGAATGAAGCAGCTGGGCCAAAGCAGAAATGACACTCAGCTGCGGATGTGTCTGGTGGTAAAAGCAAAGTTCGATGCTATAAAGAACAATATTGCATAAGAACCTGGAATGTTAGCTCCAGGAATCAAGGCAAATTGTATGTGATCCAGGAGAAGATGGTAAGATCGAACATTGACATTTTAGGAATTTGAACTTTCAGATGACTATTGTATCTACTCCTGTGGGCAAGAATCTGTAGAAGAAGTGGAGTAGTCCTCGTAGTCAACAAGAGAGTCTGAAATGCAATATTTGGGGTATAGTCTCAAAAAGGACAGAATGATCTTGGTTCGTTTCCAAGGCAGACCCTTCATCATCACGGTAATCCAAGTCTGTGCCCCAAATACTAACACCAAAGAAACTGAAGTTGACCAGTTCTATGAAGACCTGTAATACTTTCTAGAACTAATAGCAGAAAAAGATATGCTTTTCATTGTAAGGAATTGGAATGCAGAAGTAGAAAGTCAAGAGATATCCGAACTAGCTGGCAGCTTTGACCTTGGAGTACAAAATGAATTATGTCCGTGGAATTCTCCAGGCAAGAAATTCTGGAGTGGGTAGCCATTCTCTTCTCCAGGGGATCTTCCCGACCCAAGGATCAAACCCAGGTCTCCTGCATTGTGGGCAGATTCTTTACCACTTGAGCCACCAGGGAAGCCCCAAATGAAGCAGGACAAAGGCCAACAAAGTTTTGTTAAGTGAACACACTGGTCACAGCAGACACCGTTTTCCAACAACCCAAGAGATGACTCTACACATGGACATCACCAGATGGTCGATACCAAAATCATATTGATTGTTCTTTGCAGCCAAAGATGAAGCAGCTCAATATAGAAAGCAAAAACAAGACCTGAAGTGGACTGGCTCAGATTATGAGCTCTTTATTGAAAAATTCAGGCTTAAATTGAAGTAGGGAAAAACCACTAGGCCATTCAGATATGACCTAAATCAAATCCCTTATGATTATGCAGTGAATGTGACAAATAGATTCGAGGGATTAGATCTGGTAGAGTGCCTGAAGAACTATGGATGGAAGTTCATAACACTGTGCAGGAAGCAGTAACCAAAGCCATCCCCAAGAGAAATAAAGAAGGCAAAGTGGTTGTCCAAGGAGGCTTTACAAATAACCTCAGGAAAGAAGAGAAGTTAAAGGCAAGGGAGAAAGGGAAAGATATATCCAGCTGACCACAGAGTTCCAGAGAATAGCAAAGAGCGATCAGAAGGCCTTCTTAAATGAACAATGCAGAAAAATAGAGGAAAACAACAGAATGGGAAAGACTAGAGATCTCTTCAAGAAAATTGGAGAAATCAAGAGAACATTTCATGCAAGGATGGGCACGAGAAAGGACATAAACGGTAAGCACCTCGCAGAGGCAAAAGAGATTAAGAGGAGGTGGCAAGAATACACAGAACTATACAAAAAAGGTCCCAATGACCCAGATAACCATGACGGTGTAGTCACTCACCTAGAGCTGGACATCTTGGAGTGTGCAGTCAAGTGGGCCTTAAGAAGCATTACTATGAAGAAAGCTACTGGAGGTGAGGGAATTCCAGTTGAGCTATTTAAAATGCTAAAAGATGATGCTAGTAAATCATCTACACCAGTATGTCAGCAAACTTGGAAAATTCAGCAGCGGCCGCAGGATTGAACGTTTAATTTTCATTCCAATTCCAAAAATGAACAATGCTGAAGAATGTTCAAACTACTATACAGTTGCTCTCATTTCACATGCTAGCAAGGTTACGCTCAAAACCCTTCAGTCTGGGCTTCAGCTGTACTTGAACTGAGAACTTCCAGATGTACAGTCTGGCTTTCAAAGAGGCAGAGGAACTAGAAATCAAAATGCCAACATTTGTTGAATCATGGAGAAAGCCAGCATGTTTAGTTCTTGATAAACATCCACTTCTTCACTGACTATGTTAAAGCCTTTGTGTGGATCACAAAAAAACTATGGAAAATTCTTAAAGAGGTGGGAGTACCAGACCGCTTTACTTGTCTACTGAGAAACTTGTGTGTGGGTCAAGAAGCAACAGTTAAAACAACATATTGGTTCAAAATTGGGAAAGGAGTACAACAAAACTATATGTTGTTATCCATTTTATTTAACTTATACATCATGTATAAGTTAAATTCATGTATAAGTTAAATATATGTATATACATGTATATATGTATATACAAATATATATGTATATACATAGTACATCATGTGAAATGCCAGGCTGGAATCAGGATTATTGGGAGAAATATCAGTAACCTCAGATACGCAGATGATAGCACTCTTAAGAGTAATAAGTGAACAGTAACTAAAGAGCCTCTTGATGAAGGTGAAAGAGGAGAGTGAAAAAGCTGGTTTGAAACTTAGCATTCAAAGAACTAAGATCATGGTATCTGGTCTCATCACTTCATGGCACATAGAAGGGGGGAGAGTGGAAGCAGTGACATTTTGTTTTCTTGAGCTCCAAAATCACTCTGGATGTTGACTGTAACCATGAAATTAAAAGAGGCTTGCTCCTTGGAAGGAAAACTGTGACAGACCTAGCCAGCATATTATTAATAAAAAGCAGAGACATGACTTTGCTGACAAAGGTCTGTACAGTCAAAGGTGTGGTTTTTCCAGTAACTACCTGCAGATGTGAAAGTTGGACCATAATGTAGGCTGAGCACCGAAGAATTGATGCTTTTGAGTTGTGGTGTTGGAGAAGACTCTAGAGAGTCCTTTGCACTGCAAGGAGATTAATCCAATCAATCTTGAAGGAAATCAACCCTGAATATTCATTGAAAGGACTGTTGCTGAGGCTTCAGTATTCACTGTTGAAGAACAGACTTCAATTCTTTGGTCACCTGATGCAAAGCACCAACTCACTGGAAAAGACTCTGATGCTGGGAAAGATTGAAGGGGAAAGGAATAGGGGGCGGCAGAGAATGAGATGGTTAGATAGCATCACCAACTCAGTCACGAATTTGAGCAAACTCTGGGAAATAGTTGAGGACAGAAGAGCCTGATGTGCTACATACAGTCCTTGTGGTCACAAAGAGTCAGACTCAACTTAGTGACTGAACAATAACAGTTTTCTCATGTATCTTTCTAACCTCTCACTGTTTCCTCAGTCAAATACTAATATGCTTACTGTTTCTATAGATAGTTCTGGATTTTTTAGAATTGTGTATGAATGGCATCATAGAGTGTATTTCCTTTGTCTAACTTACTTTTATTCAGTACACTTACTTTGAGGTTTGTCCACATTGCTGTATGTACCAATAGTTTGTTCATTTTTATTGCTGAGTAGCATTCCATTGTACAGATAGCCCACAGTTTATCAATTCACTTGTTGATGTGTTGTTTCTGATTTGGGGTCTTGCAAATAAATCTGCTGACAACATTCATGTCCAAGTCTTTGTTCTGATGTTTTAATTTTTCTGGGGTAAGTACTCAGGAGTGGAATCCCTGGTCACATGCTAGGCATATGCTTAATTTTTCAGTAAATTACCAAGCCGTTTTCCAATGTGATTGCACTATTTTATATTCCCATTAGCAGTGTATGAGAGTTCTAGTTACTCCACAGTCTCATCAACATTTGATATTGTTAGTTTTTTAAACTTTAGACATTCTACTGATAATATGGTTGTACCCCATTGTGGATTTAATTTAATGCAAATAAGGGATTTGCATTTCCCTTATTTCTATACTGAACATCTTTTTGTGTGTTTATTTGCCATCTCTGTATCTTTGGTGAAGTGACTGCTTAAATTTTCACTCATTTTTTCATTTGGGTTTTTCATTTTCATATTACTGAGTTTTGATAATTCTGTACATATTGTGGATGTACGTCCTGTTGTCAGATAATGTAATTTTTAAATGTTTTGTGCCATATCCTCTTTTTAGTCTCTTTCAAACAGAAAACAGTGTCTTTCAAACAGCAATGGTTCTTGGATTAAGGCCAGTTTATCAGGGTTTTCTTTTATGTCCTGTGCCTTTGATATCATACTGAAGATATTTTCCCCTAACCTAGGGTCACAAAGATTTTCTCCTTGCTTTCCTTAGAAGTCTTTTCATTGCATTTTACACTTAGCTGTCTTGTCTGTTTCAGGTTAATTTTTATATATGGTGTGAGATAAAAATCAAGGTTTTAGCTTCATTTTTGTTTCTGGCATATGGTCATGCGGTTGTTCTGCCACACTTGTTGAAGAGATTGGCTTTTACTCACTGCATTGCCTTTGTGTCAGTTTTTCAAAAATCAGTTTGCCGTATGTGTGTGGGTTCATCTTTGAACTTTATTCTGTTGATTTGTATATGTTTATGTCAGTATTGCACTGTCTGGAAATCAGAGTAATATGAGACTTCTAATTTCTTTCTTTCTTAAAATTATCTTGGCAATTATAGATCTTTGGCATTTCATTGCACATTTTAGAGTCAGCTGGTCAGTTAGAAGAAAACCCTGTTTGTTTTACTTGTATAATGTTGAATCTGTAGATCAGTTAAGGGTGACTTCACAATATTAAGTCTTTTAATCTATGAACATGATATATATATCTATTGATTAATTAGGTTTCAGTAATATTTGGTAGCTTAATATTGGTCTTGTGTGCCTTATGTCAGATTTTTCCCATTATTTAATGTCTTTGATGTGGTATTGGTTTTTATATTAATTTCTCTTTGTTATATTATATAGAAATGTAGTTGATTTTTGTTTATCTTGAAACTCTGCTAAATGCATTTTGTGGTTCTAGTTGCATTACATAGAACATAGGATGTTCTATATATAGAAAAGTTAATACTTTATGAATAAAGACAGTTTTACTTCTTCCTTTTTAATTTAGATGCCTTTTATATTTTTGTCTTGCTCTCTTGAACTGACTAGTCTGTTTACATGATTATTTGCATTAAATGATTTTCAAATATTAGACTAACCTTTCATTCTGAAGATAAACCCCACCTGGTCATGATTTGCTGTGTTCTGTGTTGTTGGGTTTGTTTTGCTAAGTCCATGAGAGAGAGAGGTCTGTTTTCCTGTAATGTCTGTTTTTACTGTCAGAGTAGTGCTGCCCTTACGGGGCTCCCCGGGTGGTGCAGTGGTGAAGAACCCTCCTGCTAGTTCAGGGGACGCAAGAGACATGGGTTTGATCCCTGGGTGGGAGCGATGCCCTGGAGGAGGAAATGGCAGCCCACTCCAGCATTCTTGCCTGGAGAACCCCATGGACCGAGGAGCCTGGTGGGCCCCAGTTCATGGGGTTGCAGAGTCAGACTCGCCCGTGTGACTGAGCATCCACACAGTGCTGGCATTATAGGTGAGCTGGAAAGTCATGATACTGTGTCTCCTCAGATATTTGGTAGAATTTCATACTGAAGGCATTTGGGCCTGGAATTTTCTTTGTGGTAAAGTTTTTACAAATTCAGTTTCTTTAACAGACACAGGGTTCCTTGGGTTATCTATTGCTTTTTGAGTAAGTCTAAGTCTGACTAGAAGTTTGTCAGTTTTATTGATCTTAAAGTACCTGCTTTTGGTTTCTTTGTTTTTTCTCTATTTTATTTTTTCCTTTTTTTTTTTTTAATGCTCTTTGTTATTTTCCTTCTCTGGTCACTTTAATTTACTTTTTTCTAGTTCTGTTTCAGTAGAAGATGAGGTTCTTGATTTGCATCCTTTTGTAATGTTGGAAGATTGTATGGCTTTAACTACCTTCTACAGATTTTAGTATATTTTCATTTCCATTCAGTTCAAAATACTTTGAGTGTTTTAATATTATCTTTGTGTCATGAGTTGTTTTGTTTAATTTCCACATATTTTTCTGAAGTTGTTTTCCAATTTCATTTCATTTTGATCCTGTAACATAATTTATATGCTGAGTTATTTTAAATTTATTGAGACTTTGGTGTCCCTATTTGTGCCTCCTTTCCCCATCCCTGTGATCCTTTTTTCTTGATAATTGTATAAATTATTTCTTGTACAGTAATTTTTGTGTTTGGTTTACACATTATGTTGAGGGTTGTTTCTTTATTGCAAGTCCCAGCAGAACGCTCCAGGTGTGTCTGTTCTTGGTTAATCACCGATTTTTAAGGTGATGCTCGGTAAGTCGTTTAACTCTTCTGTAGCCTGTTGAGGAGCTGAAGCCCAGGAGGAGGGAGGTGCTAATGGTTGTTGTAAAATGTCAAGTGTTAAAACACCAAACAAACAGGAAAGCATTAGTTTTGTCTCCAAGGTAAAAGGTATTACTTTGTCATTTCACCTTTGAGCAAAGCCATGCAATTACATTTCTGTTCTTCTTACTTGGTTTATAGGCTTTTTATGGAAATTCTCAATGACTGTACTGATGTGGATGAGATCAAATTCCAAGAAGATGGTTCTTGGTGTCCAATGAGACCGAAGAAAGAAGCTATGAAAGTATCCAGCCAACCATGTCCAAAAATAGAAAGTATGTGCAGAATAGCTGCAGAGAGCAAAGCAGTGAGACTCGTGTGTTGTTATCTGTAGCATTAACCTTGGCCATTAGAACTACTGTTAGGAGTTCAGTGTGCTCAATTTACCTTTTGATCATTACACATCTTATTTCTCCCAAATGGTTTTTCTTCTTAAGACATGTGCAGAGGTTTATGCCATATTATAATCAGTCTTTTCATAGTATATTTTCCATATATAAAGTAAATAACTATCTAAATTGTCTTATTATTTTTTACTGAAGTATAATCACTGTACAATATTATCAGAGTTAAAGGGGTACAGTATAGTGACTGACAGTTTTTAAAGGTTATACTCCACTTATAGTTAACTGTAAAATACTGGCTGTATTCCCTGTGTTGTACGACGTATCCTGGTAGCTTATCCTGAACCTGACGGCTGGGCCTCCTGCTTCCCCAGCCCGCTCGTGCCCCTCTTCTCTTCCCTCTTCCCGCTTGCAGCCGCTAATCTGTTCTCTGTATCTGTGAGTGTGCCGCTTTTTTGTTATATTCACTAGTTACTTTTTTTAGATTCCACATATAAGTGATTTCATATAGTATTTGTCTCTGATTTTTTTTTCACTTTAGCCTCATGCTGTTCAAGTTCATCCATGTTGGTGCAAGTGGCAAAGTTTTTTTCTGTTTTTAATGTCCATGTGTGTATGTGTGTAGGTACACACCATACCTTCTTTATCCATTCATCTGTTGATGGACACTTAGGTTGCTTCCATATCTTGGCAGTTGTAAATAATGCTATTATGAGCTTTAGGGTGCATGTATCTTTTTGAATTAGTGTTTTTGTTTTTGTTCTTCAGTATATACCCCAGAGTGGAATTGCTGGGTCATGTGGTAGTTCTGTTTTTAGTGTTTTGATAAACTGCCGTATTGTTTCCCATTGTGGCTGCACCAATTTACATTCCTACCAACAGTAATCAAGAGTTACCTTTTCTCCATATCCTCACCAATATATTGCCTGTAGTCCTTAGAATCATCTTAATATGTGGTGCTTGTTACAACATGAAAATTTATAAGTGACATTTCTGTGGATAGTTTTCCAGAATTGTTTTTAGAGTATCTGTAGGAGGAACCCCAAGTAGACATGTGGTTAGAGAGACTGCATTTTCCATTAATGGAGAGTAGGGAAAGATGATCATAGGTTAGTTGGTTAAAAAAGAAAAAGGTGAGTTTAAAGCCCATTGCTTTGTGGGAAGAAATATGAGCCTGAGTTACTTAGCTCAGCCTTCAGCTGCCTGTGATGTCCATGCTGAATGGGGAAATTTAGGGCCATCTGAGAAATTGAAACCTGTAGGTGAACCTAGTTTCTTTTTATCTGACATAGTCCACTCACTGAATTTTGTGCTGACTGTGTTTCACATTCTGACAGTGTAATGAACAATAGGTGTCAGAGCAGGAAGAGAGGAAAAAGTAAAGGATTTATGTCAATAGTGATCATTCTCCTGTGTTGTTACTGAACCTGTGGGAATGATCAAGGTTTCCCTCATATGTGAGAAAAACAGTGATTTAATTAGTTGCTACTGCTTTTCCATTATCAAGTAGCATGCATTTTCTACTAAGTAGATTGTTTTTCTTTGAAATAGTGAGTTAACATATCATGTAAGACTATGGAAATGGGCAGAAAGGAGAACCTAAGTAGGTAATTGGTAAGAAAAACTTTAAATGTCTGAGTAACTTGTTAAAGTGAGATAGTTGGGTTTTTTTTTCAACTGATATTATCAAGGTGAACATTTTATCCAGTTCTGGCTTGGGCTGAAGAGCTTATGTATTCTTAGATATAAGCACCACTGCTTTGTTAGAATGGAAGTGTCTGATTCTGACTTAATACTACCACGTCTGTGAGAATACACAGCCAGTAAAGCCACATACTCTTGTCCACGGCTGGAGACCAGCCCCTTAAGTCCAGTTGTCTGTCTATAATGTGAGTCCTCACCGGGGGAGATGGTATGAGGAGCAGGATCTGCACAGATCTACTGGCAGTCCTGGGGAGATAACTCGGCAGGTGCTCTCTGAAAGAGGTTTTGGTCTTCTCACAAGGGATAGTGCTCCCTGTCTTCTAGGTAAGCAGTCGTATTATAGATGGATGTCTGAAGTTAGAGAGTTAGTCTCTGTCCATGGGACAGAGTATGGACTTGATGGGCTGTGTATTCTCCAGGACATGCTACGCGGTTTAAAACTTATGGCTGGAGCTTGTGTTACACCTCTCACTTTTTCCCCCGCTCTGTTCCCTCCATGTAGCTGCAGCTGTCCTCAGTAAGCCTTGTGCAGTGACTGTAGCCAATGAGGCAAGCAAGAAGAAAGTGGATGTCATTGACCTAACAGTAGAAAGCTCTTCTGATGAAGAGGAAGGCCCTCCTGCCAAAAGGAAATGCATCTTTATGTCAGAAACACAAAGCAGCCCAACCAAAGGGTTTGTGAATTTATAGTTCACTATTGTTTATTACACTTGGAACTAACCGTTCTTGGGTTAGGTTTGTAAATGGCTCTTGGAGAGTGGCATAACCATAGAGGGCCACTTTAATTTGTGTTCTGTTCAGTTGAAATATTTTCAAATGAGCATGTTGTTCATGGGAAAGCAAATTTTGATGAAGAAGATACTCCCATCTTTGGGAAGTGAGGATTGATATCTTCTCATGTCTAAATATTTCATATTGAACACTTTCTGTTATTTTCTTGACTCTCTTTGTAAGGAGTAAATTTGGCATCACAGACCACTGTGAGGAAGTGGAGTGTGTGGAGTGTGTAATTGGCAATCTGACCAGTGTGGATTCTAATTTTGACACCATTGCTTACTTGTTCTGTGATCTTGGATGAGATATTTAACTTCTTTGAGCCTCCTTTTCCTGTTCTGTAAAATGGGGTTAAATAATGCCTACCTCATAAGGTTATATTCAGGTTTCAATAAGATAATGCAAGAGCTCAGCCTGATTCAGGCCCATGGTAATTTTCTCAATAAAAAATGATTGCCTTCCCTTCTCACCCTCTCCAAGGCACAGTGTGGGCAAGTAAATGTGGTCTAGCATTTATTTGTAAGGCATCTGGCAGAAGCTGTTGCTGACATAGTAAGTGACAGGTTTAAGTAATTCGCAATAGATACTTCTGAGAGATTTTGGAACCTGCAGCAAAGTAGCAGAGGGTTCTGTCGACATCCCATGAGCATATTATTTCAAAGTTGGGTGTGCCAGTCTTATCTTTTGACCTCTCATTGCACTTCTTTTCTCTAATGGCTTTTTGGGGTATAATTTACATATCATAAAATCCCACATCTGAAGTCTTGAGTTGCACACTTCAGCGGTTTTAATAAATTCATAGATACACAGTTATCATCACAACTCAGTTGTAGAATATTCTCAACACCCAGTAAACATCTTTCATGTTCGTTTGAGTTAATCCCCATGCACACTCCAGTAGGCAACCATTGATCTTCTTTTTATTGCTATAAATTTGCCTTCTCTAGGCATTTTATACAAGTGGAGTTATATTCTCAGTGCACTTTTGAAACATTCCTTTTTTACAGTTACCTTTGAAACCAGGAGAATTAAAGCTTTCTGTGCTGTCTTCTTCACTTAAAATACTTGTATTTCCAGATGTGATTTCCACATCACAGTGAGAGTGCATTTTTTTTCTTAGTGGAACTGAAAATGAAAAAGTATTTCAACTGGGATTTTTTTCTGGGATGCTGATCATTTATGGTTTCTTTCAGACAATTTGGTTGGCACTTCTAGAATTTAAAGACTTCCCTGGTGGCTCAGATGGTAAAGCGTCTGCCTACAATGCGGGAGGCCCGGGTTCAATCCCTGGGTCGGGAAGATCCCCTGGAGAAGGAAATGGCAACCCACTCCAGTACTCTTGCCTGGAAAATCCCATGGACGGAGGAGCGTGGTGGGCTGCACTCCAGGGGGTCGCAAAGAGTCGGACACGACTGAGTGACTTCAGTGTCAGTGTCTAGAATTTAATGATAAAAAATGAAAATAGAGTTTTGAAATGTTTACTGGCTTATATGTGATATTTCCAGAGTTTACTCTCTAATGAAATGCTTTAGCAATGCTGGGGAAACGTGGGTTGCACAGTATTACATATATAGTTAGATGGAGTCACACCAGGCTGAAGGATCACTGTCCTCTTGGAGGGTATCTCTGGTGGCTCACCGTAAGGGTCATCTGAGATGAGCTCACCTTGCTGAGGAATCGGGACAGTTCACACCTGTGATCAGCTACCGCAGAGAGAGAGGTTGAGTCTCATCTAGGTTAAAAAGAAAAAAACCTAACATTTAGAGTATAAGGTGAAAATTTGTGACTAAATTAGCAATTTGGTTTAAATTGTTTGTAAAGTGCAGCTACCCTGCTCATCCCACGAAGCTGGCATAATTCTTAATACCCAAACTTATATGTTAACAACCAAACAGGAAAACTGTTATGAAACAGGCTTACATTAGAAAGATCGATGAAAATTCTGAATTCAATCTTAGTAAATTATTTAATAATATATTGAAATGGCATCCTTGAATACCAAATTAGAGTTTATCCAAGAATGCTTTATAATTAGGAAATAAATTGATAAAATGGATCTTGTCATAGACAACTAAGCCCTCCACATCTGTGGATTCTGGCAACTGTGGATCGTCACAAATGGCTAGAGGAAAATATTTTTTTTTAAAGTTTCCAAAAACAGGAACTATTTCACATAGCGTTTGCATTGTATTAGATATTATAAGGTATAAGGTAATCTAGAGGTGAATTAACTTACAGATGGAGGATGTGGAAACACTATAGTATTTTAGGTAAGGGACTTCAGGATCTGTAAATTTTGGTGTCCTTTTGGGGAGAGGGTCCTTACACCCAGTCTGCTGTGAATACTGAGGGACGACTGTATATCATCATCTTAATAGATGATGGCCTTCTGTAAATTAACACACACTTAGAAGCTCTCTGAAGTGTCAGAATTCACTTAATGGTTTACCACTTGAGCTGGTTTGTTCTTAGATTGCATTAATAAAAGGAGCAGTATCCAGGATACATACCCATGCCAGTTCTATTCCTTTTCAGGCTGAATGACTTTCACTTAGACCGTTTTAGTCAGGGCTTTCATCAAGAAGGGTATTCATGAGAGCAGCCAGAGGAGGGAAAGAGGATGGTGAATGGTGGAAACTAGCCTGATGGATGAGTGGGTCTAAGGACTGAAGCTGTGAAGCCAGGAGAAGAGAAAATGTGATATTTACCTTGTAGGTCTTGAACGGGAGTCACTGATGAACTGGGTTGGGTTTATTCTTTCTTATAGCATTTGGCAGATACAAGGCCAGTAGAGGGATGATACATTAAAACTTTGCATTGGAGTTTCCTGAACGCTAAGAACGTTGATGTTTTGTGTTAAAATCACATTTTCTGTGTTAGGGTAGAGTGGATGCCACCTGTGCAGGCATTACAGTGGAGACCATACTGTGGTTATTTCATCTGTAATCCCTTCCAACTCTTAGATTTTTTTTTTTTTTTCTGGTTTTGTGTCTGGTCATTCTTTTCATGTCCTCCCTCTTGTGTCAGCATCTGGAAATTTTCCCTAAGTTGTAAATGTATCATAGGGCTTCTTAGTGTTAGTAAGCAAATGGGGAATAGAGGGAAAATAAGACTTTTAGAAAACCTCTGGTGTTTTTCTAAATTAATGGATAATTTAAAAATATGTCTCTAACCCATGCATTGGAAATTGAATGATTGCTTTGTCATTAATAAAGAGGTATTCTCAAGACAGGAAACCAAGATTAGAGATAGATTAAGAATCATTGCATCCCTGAAATTAAAAGATGCCGACTCCTTGGAAGGAAAGTTATGACCAACCTAGATAGCATATTAAAAAGCAGAGACATTACTTTGCCAACAAAGGTCCGTCTAGTCAAGGCTATAGTTTTTCCAGTGGTCATGTATGGATGTGAGAGTTGGACTGAGAGGAAAGTTGAGCACTGAAAAATTGATGGTTTTGAACTGTGGTGTTGGAAAAGACTCTTGAGAGCCCCTTGGACTGCAAGGAGATCCAACCAGTCCATTCTAAAGGAGATCAGTCCTGGGTGTTCATTGGAAGGACTGATGCTGAAGCTGAAACTCCAATACTTTGGCCACCTCATATGAAGAGTTGACTCATCAGAAAAGACCCTGATGCTGGGAGGGATTGGGGGCGGGAGGAGAAGGGGATGACAGAGGATGAGATGGCTGGATGGCATCACCGACTGGATGGACATGAGTTTGAGTAAACTCTGGGAGTTGGTGATGGACAAAGTGGCCTGGCATGCTGCGATTCATGGGGTCGAAAAGAGTCAGACACGACGGAGCAACTGAACTGAACTGAAGAGTCTTTCGGAATTGGTAGCAGAATTGAATCTTTTAAAATATTTTTATGATCATAAAATGGGAACACCTGGTGAATTTCAGGTTTATAGATAAAAATTCAAGTTACTGAAATTTCAGACATCTAAGTCTGGGCCAAGTATGATGAATTTAGTGATCTAGTACTCTATAATACTAATATTTGCTATCTTGCAGTATGCCAGAACTTTCCTTTTGTGCTGTGAAATTACGTTGTTGTTCAGTCACTAATTCATGTCTGATTCTTTGAAACCCCGTGGACTGCAGCATGCCAGGCTTCCTTGACCTTCAGTATCTCCTGGAGTTTGCGCAAACTCATGTCCATTGAGTAGATAATACTCTTTTCACATCAGGTGTCCAAAATACTGGAGCTTTAGCATCAGTCCTTCCAATGAATATTCAGGGTTGATCTTGTTTAGGATTGACTGGTTGGATCTCCTTGCAGTCCAAGGGACTCTCAAGAGTCTTCTCCAACACCACAGTTGAAAAGCATCAATTCTTTGGCACTCAGCCTTTATGGTCCAACAGTCACCTCTGTGCGTGACTACTGGAAAAACTGTAGCTTAGACTGTACCGACCTCTGTCAGCAAAATGATGTCTCTTCTTTTTCATTAATAAGGTGCTGTCTGGTATCACTGACAGAAATAGAGCTGACTTGAGGACAAGGATAATGACTCTGTTTAAATATGATGAACTGAAGGTGACAGTGAACAACCTGTAACATTTCCAGCTATGTATTAACTGTGTGACTTTGGGAATTCTCTAAGCTCAGTTTTCTCATCTGTAAAATAGAAATAATAATAATGTGCAACTCATTAAGTTATTATGAGGATTGAATGAAATAATGGCAATGACAGTACTCACTAAGGCATTGGAAAAGTGACATATTTTGGCCATTGTTATTATTCATCTTATATATGACAGACTGCCCAATAAATCCTTTTTGTTACATGAAAACAAAAAACAGACAAAAAATAACATGCTGTCTAGGTTTGTCATAACTTTCCTTCCAAGGAGCAAACATCTTTTAATTTCATGTCTACAGTCACCGTCTGCAGTGATTTTGGAACCCAAGAAAATAAAATCTTTCACTGTTTCCACGTCTGTTTGCCATGAAGTGATGGGACCAGATGCCACGATCTTAGTTTTTTGAAAGTCGAGTTTTAAGCCAACCTTTTCACTGATACTATGCATAAAGCTATAAAAATTTATATGTGTACATAATACATAATGTACATATAGGCCTGTGTGTGTATTTGCCAGTCCTATGAGGAGGGAGTAACAAAAGCTTTAAAAAGTGTTTTTATTATTTTATAGCATCACATACTTACACCCACAATTCCACCAGACATAGCCATTTAGATTTCTCCATGGTTCCTATTCCATATCTATAAATACATCTGTTTTTGCACAGGCATTAAAGTTGTTTACCTTTCCGAATGTGACCTTTGTGATGCTTCTGATTGAGACAAAAATCTGCTACCAGTAGGTAATTTGATAATCCTAACAAATGGTGAATTTTACCCATTCTATATAAAGTTGAATTTGTGTTAATGTTACAAAGTTCAGGCAATCGGATTTAACTTACACTAAATTGTTTAATTTTTCAGATAGTTGTTGAGATTGTAGATGCTGATTTAATAATTTGTACTGTCACTGGATTGTGACATTTTCACATGATGTGGTAGCATTTTATATTGATGAAACAAGGAATAGCTAATCACTTAAGAGTTTTATGTTATGAGAGCTGAAGATGTGCAGTGGTCAAGGGTTACTATGGTGATGAGTACATTGCGACATTGACCTCACTTCTGTGCAGGTTTCAGTAAAGGGCCAGGGTGGGAGAGTGAGTGTTGTTGTTTTCTGTGAATCTGATCCAGATTGAAAGGTCTGTTGAGGATCAAGAGAAAAGACAGTCTCCAGTGTGAGATAATAAGAGCCACTTTTCACGCCCCCTGTGAGTACTAATATATGCCAGTCTCAATTTCCTTCTTGTTCCCATGACCCCATGCCCCAGTTTCTGATACACATTCCTGTGTGGGAGGTAGGGTCATGTGTAATTTGGAAACACTGCTGGTGATTTCCTATTCTACTTTTATCCTTGTAGAGGACCAGTGTCTTCAGCCTTCCAGAAGAAGATGTGCTTTAATATAACATACATACTTGAGCTATCTCAGGTTTTCTCCTTCCCCCTCCAGAGCCCACCTTTGTGGTTTTAGATTGCCAGGTAACACTGGCATCCAAGAAGCCTCCTGATTCTGACTGAGGCAGGTTGCTCTTTTTGTCCGTCTTCACCTACATCTGGAAAATGTGTTTTGAAATACTTAGCTTATGTTATTATCTCAAGCATACTATATTTCCTGTAATTCCCAAATAGATGAGTCTAAGTTCACTTGCTTTTCTGGGTCTAGCAGTTGCCAACACAGCCACATAAATACTCTCAAGATGACTTTGTTTTCCTCCTTTCCAATTACATCTGTAGTTTTGAAAAATAGTACAGAATAACAGGGCTTCCCAGGTGGCTCAGTGGTGAAGAATCCTCCTGCTGATGCAGAAGCTGCCGGAGACGCTGGTTTGATCCCTGGGCGGGGAAGATCCCCTGGAAGAGGAAATGGCAATCTACTCCAGAATTTATGCCTGGGAAATCCAATGGACCAGAGGAGCTTGGTGGGCTACAGTCCATGGGGTCTCAGAGTCAGACATGACCTAACGACTGATCATATACATGCACGTGCTGTTTGTTATCAGTTGTGCGTCATCTTTCTAGTGGTCCCTTCCAGCTATGGAGATTGTACCCCTCTCATTGGGCTCACAGCAATTTACTGGTGGTGCTTTGGAATGCTGACCTTAATGTCCTAATGACCTCATGTCCATGTGTCCCCGTCCCCTACTCTTCCTTTTTTTCCCCTCAAATTTTAAAGTTTTATTTTTCAAAATGTACAGTGGTGGAACCTGTCTATGCATCTTTACTGGAAGCTGGGGCATCTTCACCTTTGGTGTTTCTGGTTTAAATTACTTGTACTCTGTGCTTTGAAACCACTTTCATGGATGCTTTACTAAGTAGCTCTTGAAGGGCTGTCCTGGCCAAGGAGCTGTGAGTCTTCAGTTTCTCAGAGACGACAGCTGAGGTTTTAAGCTTGTAGTCAGGAACTGAGTCATTTGAAAAGACCCTGATGCTGGGAAAGTTTGAGGGCCGGAGGAGAAAGCGACGACAGAGGATGAGATGGTTGGATGGCATCACCAACTCAATGGACTTGGGTTTGGGTGGACTCCAGGAGTTGGTGATGGACAGGGAGGCCTGGCGTGCTGCAGTTCATGGGGTCGCACAGAGTCAGACACGCCTGAGCGACTGGACTGAACTGAGGCAGGAAGTCCCTTAGTCTGGCGCATGTGGCTTTGTCAGGCAAGACTAGGTTATTGAGTTTGTCCCATATTTTGCCTTTGGCCTTGCCCCCAGACTTGTTCACTGGGTGTCTTTCTTGGCTGGCTTTCTGCCATCGACTTTTTCTTGTCATCCTTGGGTGGCATCTCAGAGATTGGAGAGCAGCTACTACCCCTGCAGCCGCACTGAGATGTCGGACAGAGGGTCCGTGATGTTGCTTAGTTTCTTATATATATATAAATATATATATATGTGTGTGTGTGTGTGTGTGTGTGTGTGTGTGTGTATTTAAGATGTTTTCTTGAGGACTTCTAATCATTTACTCTGGACTAAGATGTAATGAATATTAAGTGGCAAGAATGCAAAATCATTTCTCTTTTTTCCTGAACTTCTTCAAAAATATGTTTAACCATATTGCTTCTTAAAATTTTAAAGTAATTATAGTATATATATATACAGTGTGTATACATATATGTATAAAGACCAATAATAAAGTGTATCTTAAGTATATTTAATTTGTGTTTTTAGTGGCATGAACAGTGAATTTCAAAGTCATAGCCCTTGTAAAAGAGTAGATGGTAGCTAGTGTGTCTTAAATCCTGAACGTTTTATTCTTAATCTGCTTTCTTTTCTCATTGCCACCAGTTTTTATCAGACTGTCTGGCTTTAGGACTGTCTTTACTCAGGTGATTCCCAGATAAGAGTGCTAATAATTAACATGATTCATGTTACAATGGAAGGAGTTATGGTTGAGCTATAGTTAGTAAGGAAGAAGCTTTACTCATAAAGGTAACCTGATTTAAAACAAATTTTAGGAGTCTTCTATTTTATTTCTAAATTTCTTTATATATAACTTACTAATATCACATGCATGTTACACATACATTAATAAAAGCAGTGTGTAGCGTATATTCCTATTTGTGGTTCAGAGTTCTCTGTTTTGCTCCAGCCATGTTCTTTATGTTTTAGTGCCACCTTGCTCTTATGTCACAGCTGTTATTGAGAGGCAACATATGTTCATGTTAAAGTGAAGACTGTTATGAAAGGAGAGTGAGTGGAGTTCTGTGTAGTGAGTAGCTGCCATATAGTTGTTTTGAAGCTTAGTGAGCTTACGATTGAGAATGCCCAGTAGTACAGCCCTTCGCTCCTGTGAACTAACAGCCAGATTGTTTGTAATTTCCCGTGCTATTTAAAACAGGGTTCTCATGTATCAGCCATCTTCTGTAAGGGTGCCCAGTGTGACTTCGGTTGATCCTGCTGCTATTCCGCCTTCATTAACAGACTACTCAGTACCATTCCACCACACGCCAATCTCAAGCATGTCCTCAGATCTGCCAGGTATGTGAAGAGTTGTTTTGTTTTTTACCAAGTTTTGTTTTTTTTTTACCATTTATTTTTTTAATCTTAATCTGTGAAGCAAATATAATTTCAGTGTCGTAAATAAAAATGCAAAGGAAATTGCTAAGAAAAGAGTTCCTGTGAAGGTGATGCCTGTTTTAAATAGTAATTATGTTCAGTTGCTCTCATTTTAACTACTGAGCAATCTGTAGATTTTGTTGGGAGGAAATAGAGTAGGGTAGTGGGAAATTTTTACAGAATTTATTCTCCTGTGTAGAGAATGTACCACAGAGAGACTTTTTCTTGGTTTATTTTTCATGGGTGCTTCACAGGTTAGGGAGAATGTTTTCTCATACTTTCCTTTTCTAAAAGCGCATCACTTCTTGGTAGCCCATCACAACTGCAGAATGTACTTGTGTACTGTGAGGTCAGATTGCCTACCAGCTTTACCTTGTAAAAATAGGATCTGCCTGCTCTTTTTCCATAGTACTCCTGAGTATTTAGGGTTATCCTTTAAATAAAAATTTTTTTTAATTGGAGGATAATTGCTTTACAATGTTGTGTTGGTTTAGGGATATCCTTTATATATATATTAACAGTTAAAAACTTCATGGCTGCCTGAGTTACCTTAGTATCAAGTTTTTTCATAGAGCAAATTGGCACAAGTTTAGAAGCAGTGACGACTAGACTTCCCTTCTCTCTGAAGGGCCCTTTTATTGAAATTCAGTTACCTCGTCCTGTTATTAGTTTCCTTTTCTGGATTTAGGAAGTTAATTTTGAACTGTGATTTATTCTTCTTAGCCCTCTTAGTAAGGTCTTTATTTTAAGCACAATATATATTCTATTGGGTAAAATTTGTGTTGGAACAGTTGATAGTTGTGTAATCTGGTCATGTGTAATTTTGTCACTTGAAACTTGTTCAGATTTATTCAGTTTGAATATAATTTATTGGAAAAGAGTAGACTAAAAATAGTGTCCATCAAAAAAAATGTTAAAAGCTTTTTGGTTCTTTCATACATCTCCTCCACATGTTCTTTGGGAATTGGTTATTTAAAAAAAAAAAACTGTTTGTAAACCCAGCCAGCACGTTACAGAGTCATTGCTGATACAAAGCTTGATCTTGAGTTACAGGTGAAGTTTCATGGTCCCTAAGAAAGGGAAAGTCAGAGTCGTAATTCCCAACTGCCATGTTTGTTTTAATTGTGGCTAGTTTTAAATGAAGTTGAAAGGTTTCCACATGTCATCTTAGTATGTGTTATAAATAAGCATTCCAGAAGCCTTCATTTCCTGAAGATCTTGAATTAAAAATTAATCCTGAGAAAAAGGATAATGAACATTCTCTGTTTACTAAGTGACTCTGGCCATTTAGCAATAGAATAGATACAATGTACAAATCACTTGTTCTGTTAGTTTTTGAGTTGTGTGATTTTGGATGAATTTTTAATTTCAGAGAATTTGTATTTCAAAATTTGGGCATAAAGTCAGACTATTTACTTTATAAAATGTACAGATTTGAAAAAAATGCAATAAAATATGTTAATTGTGTATTTCATAAAATATATTTCAAGCTGGTAAGAACTAAGACTATTATCCAGGACTGATATTTAGCCATTATAAGCTAGTATAGTGATACTGATTATTAAAATGTTAAAAGACTTTATTAGTTGATAAACAGAATAGAATAGGATCTATTGTACTTTAGAAGCATTACCAATTTACTGTCATTTATGAATTATGTAGTAGTATCTTGATCTAAATAGTTTAGTTTTTATTTGGGTTTTACTGTTAATATGCTCTTTTGTAATTAGTAATTACTTTGGGGATTTTTTGTGCATAATTTTTATGTAATTAGTCATACTGTACAGTTTTTATATAAGTTTAATAATTTATAATAAAATATTAAATAGAATACCAGAATTGAGAGATGACAAACTCTTAATACATTTCTTAACATTCCTTTTAAACATCATAAACATGAATCTTCTGAATCTGCAGGAGAACAGAGAAGAAATGATATTAATAATGAACTGCAGCTTGGAACATCTTCTGATACTGTGCAACAGTGAATGCAAAAATAAAACATAATTTGTATTTGTGGAATGGAAAACAGCTTGATTATTTCACGAAAAGATATGACTGCCTTATTATTGCTAGTGCCATATCGTCAGGTGTGAATGGTGCTCAAAAGTTGTATCATTAAAATTTGAAAGTGCTAAACATTTACATACTTAATCATGTAGCAGTTATGTTTTGTTAAACTTCATGGCTCAAGTAAGTAAAATGTGTTGTTATTAATAAGACATAATAGAGTCAGTTTCACATGAAGAAGCATTTAAAATCTAAAAACTACAGATTTGTCAGTATTGAGAAAAGCATTTAGAATGTACCATCATAATTTTTAAAACTACCTGCTTTTTTAGTTAAAGATAATTATGAAATACTTAAGAGTGAAAACACAATACAACATATCATTGCAGTTCAAACTTATGGTGAAATAAGAACAGCATTTTACTGAACTTTTATAAAATATTAAGGCAATAATGTTTTAATCACTATTCATGAAGCTTCATCCATTTCATGTAAGAGTTTTCATAGTCTATACTTACAAAGTAGAATTATAAGACATTGTTGATAATAGTTTTTTAATAGAAGGAATAACATCTGAAATACTGTGTCAAGCTTCAGTGTTACTGTTGGAGAGAAAATGGTTTCAGTGAGAAATATTTACATTGAAACATTACTGAATTTTGTGTAGACAGCATCTGTATAATACAGCTAGGGAGATACAGTGGGTTTCAACCAAAATTTCAGAAAAATTTCTAGATACTTTTATTATGGCGTTGTATAAGTTATCATATTCAGTTATCCCTGGATGAGATATCAAAAGATATAGATCAGTTAAATCTCTTAAAATATTTTATCAATAGACCGTTAGCACACCTGAAATGATCATCCAATAATAGAAATGCTGAATATATAAAACTTTCAGATGATATAAGGGCTGGACAGATTTTGAATTACAGTTCAGCTGCAGGAGAGAGAGAGGATTTACTCAGCAGTATTATTACTGTGAAGAGAAACTCTTACTGAAGTACATCACCTCCTTAGTATCACTTTAATGGGGAACTCTTTGGAAAAGTTGGTTATGATTCCCTTTGTCCAGTGGTGGCTCAAATCTTGTATCTTATAGCTGGTGATAGGCATAAGAAATGACAAGTCATGTCAGCAGTTTTCAAAAATCATTTAGAAATTGAATGGCTTCTTTCCAATGATTGGTGCTACAGCTTGTATTATTCAGTAAGTATTATCATTGTACCCTTATTTAGAGATTATAAGGGAGTAACTTACTTAAACATCTGATTTATCAGTTATATTCACACAGATTATTAAATATTTTAAATATCATTTCCCACTAATATTCTCTATTTAGACTAACAGTCCAGTATCATAGTATACTCTGTTACGATTACTGTACTTGAGGTGATGCTGAATACCAGGATATAAAAATTCATAGAATAAATAGGAATTGGCCTTAGTAATCTTATACTTAATATATGATTTTTTTTTAATGTTTTAGAAATTAGTCAAGCAGAGGTCTAGGGGAACTGACCTTGAAGTTTATTGTTAGACTTTTCAGATGTGAAGATTTTATTATTTATTGTTATAACTTGAATATATCAAAACAGTATTACTGGGCAACCTTTTGTCACTTTCCTATTTCTAAAGTATAATTGGAGGATCCCAAATCTTTAGAAAACTGCATTAGCTCATAACCCAGTACACGCTGGCAACATTTAGCTTGTCTAGTAAGCAGCAGCTCGGAAGTGCTTGCTTTATGCAGCGTGTTGGACTGTGTACTGCTCCTTTGTTGTGGGAACTGGGGGACAGAGAGCTGTCCGTGAAATAGACATTTATTTGTTTAAGAAGTGATATTTTAGATGAAGCTTAATGTGTATTTCTAAAAAATAAATGTGAAGTGTCTTAAGAGGCTAAGCATGTTTTTTTTTAATGTCTCAATCCAGACGATCATCTCTTCATTTTTTGCTTCTCATTCTGCTAAGTGAAAATTTGCTTTGACTAGTTCTATTTAAATTTTGGACTCCTCTACCCCTTTTAAGCCTCTGGGGATGGTTTTTCCAGTTGTTTTGTCAAGACATATGTACATTTTTGGGTTTTATGCACATAAATATCCTGAAATATCCTGATTGTGGTAGACCTTCCCTACAGCAGAATGGTAAGGACTTAACCCAAATGTTCTATGACTTAAATAAAAAATGATTTGGGGAAATAATTCTTGTCTCCAAAATATGAGACAACTATTAACAGAACATTTTTGTTTTAGGTTTGGATTTTCTTTCCCTTATTCCAGTTGATCCCCAGGTATGTATCCTGAATTTAAGCAACTAATTTGTATTGGATTGTCGGTTGTGTCACTAACTAAAAATGACCAGTTGCATAAAATCAGGACAGTCAACTCTCAGTTACTTAAATTGATGGAAAGAAAGTACTTCTATAAATATTTCACAATTTTACTTGGAGGCATGACATTTATGACATTTTGACCTTTACTACTAGCATTGTAAATTATTTTTTTTTAGTTTAATATAATCATTTGGCATTTCTTAACAAGCATTTGAGTGATTAAAATGAGGGGAAGCAGTGCTGGAGGACTGGAAATGTTGAAACTTTATAGAGAGAATTTGTAAAACACTTGTTCTGTACATAGAAGATGGCTGAAGCTGATTAAACAAATTGAATCATTAGCTTGATTCTTCGTAGTTCTTAAAGACAGTCAAATTCAGACTTTGAAGAAGCCCTCACCTAAAATTGCTATAAACCAGCCATTCGTGTTTTCTCTGTTGGGGATAAGAAACTAGTATTCCAGTGTCCCACCATGAAGACCTTGCAATGAGCACAGACTCCGCTGATAGGCTAATAGCAGAGGAGGAGAAGGCACAAGGAAAGCTGATGGGAAAAGCAGACAGAGAAACAGACTGAGAGAGGTGTTGAGAGTAGGGGCGGATAGAGGAAGAACCACGGATCGTTGCTTTTGTAGGCCTTTCAGAGTCAGCTCACCACAGGTTGTGTATCAGCTTCCTGGCTTAATACTCTGATCACACAAACAGTACTGGAAGTTTGGGCCCAAGGTGACAGGCACAAAAAGAGAAGTTTCTTTTCACCCTAAATTGACTTCGTTACATCAGTAGATTCTATAGCAAAATATCTATGTATTTTTCTAGGAGATAGATTCTTCAGGATTAAAGTTTTAGCTGATTTTTATGTGAACCATCCTTTTTTAAAAAATCATCTTGGAACCTTGAGGGTTTTGATTTTATAGGGCTATTCATGCTTGATGTCAGGCTAACTTGCTGATAAAAAAATACCTGAAATTGATAATATTGATAAGCTGTCCTTACTGATCTTCTTTCATGTAGTCAATCTAAACACAAACTTAGGACCGCTCCTCTTGTAGTGTGTACTGGACCTCACTTATCATACTAAAGTTAGTGTAGTTGTTTCTTGCATAGAACAGTCTATGGCGATATAAAATAAAGCTTTTAGTGCTTGTCTCTGTTCCTCCTGGTCAGTATCAGAGTACTTAAACTCAGATTGAAATTTGTTTGGGGATCAGCAACTAAGATTTAAACCAAAAATTATAAACACTTGGAGGTGGCTGTCAAGCTGCCATCTCAGAGGCAATTAGATTTCCTTTAAGATGTATTCCAAAATTTTGTTTGTTTTTTATTTCAAAATACATGCAATAGTTCTCATTCTGAGCATCCTGGAGTAGTTAGCTACGTGTAGTCTCTACATTAGAGTGTATGCTATCTTCTAATTACACAAGTACTGTTATACATGTATGTAGATAGGAGTCAGACGTTGTTCACTGATCAGTCTTAATATCGTTCCTTAAGGGTCTAATTAATACTAACTTTTGAAAGAATTATTGAATTTTGCGTTGGCACTTTTGCTTAAAGCCATTAAAGATAAGTTTACTAGCCTTTTACAGTGTGCTTTAAATTTGGTATAAATACATTTAGTGAGCAAATTCTTTTCAAGATTAAATATGAGTCATAATTGTGGGGCCAGTATTCAGTATTAAATAACTGTAGTTATTATTGACGTTTTTGTACTACTACCTACATATTTGGTCAACAGATTTCTGTTTTGAGACAGTCAAGAATATGCTGCACTCATCAAATAATGTAAAATATTAAATTCGTGCCACCTTCTAGCCAAAGATGTGAAGTTTTGAGAAATTTTTAAATCCCACCGGGATTTAAATATGTGGCTGTCACTTGTGCATATCTAACAGTGTGTAGTCTCTCTATTTACCATCAGTGAAGCCTCTTCCTCATGCGCATCATTGTTTGTTTCAAGCAGTACTGTCCTCCTATGTTTTTGGATAGTCTCACCTCACCCCTAACAGCCAGCAGTGCGTCTGTCACCACCAGCAGCCCCCGTGAAAGCAGTGTTCATGTTAGTTCCTCCAGCAGCAGGAGTGAGACAGGGGTCATAACCAGCAGTGGAGGCAACATTCCTGACATCATCTCACTGGACTGAAGGAGGACTCGCTCGAGTCTAGGAATCATTCATCAGAACTGCTCTTTCTTGGATCTCTGGTCCGTGGAAGCTATTTTTTTGCTAATTACTTTGATATTTATTGAAATGTCAGATGGATTCGTTTGCCTTCTGAGAGATGAACACAGATGACCGCAACAAGAACCACATGACATGCAAGGATTTTTCTTACTCTTGGTGTACTCTTTGAGCATCAGATACATTCAGCTGTAACTATATCCTCCTGAGAGATGGATTCAATTTCATGTTACTGGATAGATTCTACAAACCAGTTACATTTTTTTGTTGTAATACACAGCAATAAAATTATGTAAATATTCAAGTACACTTTTTTTCTAATTAAGAAAAGATGTAATCAGTGATTCTAAAATGACAACTTCTCGTTTAACCTGATGTGAAGGAAAAATATGCGGAAAGAAGTTACATTTGCCAAATGAGTCCCTTCCATGGATTTGTTCTGTTTTCGTTGAAGTAATGAAGTCTAGATAAGTGGCCGAAGCTTGGGTTCCACTTTTCTCCGTTTCCATCAGAGAAGAATGTCCTGTGTGCTAAGCATTTCCCCTGTTGGTTGTTTCCACTCTGGTGTTGTGTGCCCGTGAGCGCGGAGTGGAGTCCGGGATTTGGCTGCTCCTCAGTAGTGATTATGTTGAAGAACACTATGCAGAGTCTGCCCTGACGTAATGTGTGCTGTTTTCGGTAATTGAACTTTCTTATTCTAGAGATGTCTGTAAATTAGGGGCTTACCTTCTCAAAAGAAATTCTCTGTGACTGTTGACTGAAATGTTTTTTTGGATTGAGGTGTGACTGGAATATTTGTTAAGATTTTGTTACACTGTCCAGAAATATTGAGAGCATGGAGGCAGTGGAAGAACAGATTTAGAGGCAGTGGGAATAGCAAAGTTTAATTTCTTCCTAAGAACTTCTTTTACTTGTTTATTTTATAGGATAATGTTCAAATCTGCGATGAGTAATACTGACAAAGTATGTCATAATCTTTTCTCATAGCAGTGATTTTTAAATTTAAAGAATAAACAATAGCAAAGGGATGGAGGTGGCATCAGATTTCCTGTTTTTTTAAAAAAAGAAATGTTTCCTGAAACCACAGAAGATAAAAACAGAATTAGAAGTGTTTGAGTATAAGAAAAGTTTGAAGAGAGGATAGGCCTGAAACCCACATTGAAAACTATTCTCACTATGTGTTTGATTTTAAATCTCTAAGGAAGCTGAATTTTACCGAGAAACATTTTTATCCAAATTTTATACTTTGCTTTCATTTGGCTGCACAATTTTGATTTCTCAAGGAGTTAATACTTTCCTAATGTTTAGCTTTCTCTCCCTAAGCTGTGTCTAAGTAAACATTTGTTTAAAAATCATTAATCTAGCTGATTTCTCAGGCTGAAATGCCCAGATGCAGAGTCGCCAGTTTCATACAGGATAGGGAACAGTCAGGGTTGGTGCAGCTCCACGGAGCTGCCTTCTCACGGCTTGGTTTTCACACCTCAAGTTCTTATGCCCTTTGTGCTGTTTTTGTACTCATTTAACTTCCTGTGATTTTCTACATCATCCCTTTTTCGGCTGTTTTATCCCTTTAATGTATTATCGCTTTTGGAGAGTTAAAAACATGGAAAACAAACCTGAATCTTCTTGCAGTCGTTACATCATAGTTGCCAGTTTTAAATTCTTAGGACATGTTGCAGTCCTTTGGTCCATACACAGAATTTATTCCTGGTAAAATTTTATATTGCTGCTCTAAATGTGGATGCAAGTTCTGTTAACTCTGTAATCAGACAGAAAAAGTAACCTGATTTGTGTGGTATAATTTGTTAATAAAGAAATGCTGTATATTTGTTATCATTTTGTTACCCATTGGATTCTCAGAGACCCTCCCTTCCGCAACTTAACCCACGGAGTTTTACAAGGTTGATGAAGACAACAGTCGAAATTAGTCCACGTGCTTGATTCTTGTAGCTGAGGACCATGTGCTGTTTCACTTGTAGTTTGTTTCCTTTTCACTGTTTCCTGTGAACAGTTTTATTGTTCATTTTTGGTGCTTTACACTAAACTACACAAATTTTTAATTTATCTCATACAGGCAACTCACATTTTTAAAAATATACTTTTAAGTTTATAATCTTAAAATTGAGACTTTTATATGTGTATCTTTGAAGGTGAGTACCTTTTATTATGCTTTTGGCTCTATGACAACAGCATGCTTACTAAGCCATTGTCCTTTTTTAGCATGGTCACCAAATACTTTTACTGGGACTCTGCCTTTGTAGTAGTGTCTTTTACTAGCCAAGATACCTGCTCAACCAAGTATAATTCCGTTTCAGAGGAGGTCTTCTCTAGCTGTTACCTAGACGGCAGCCAACCATTTGCCATCTGATGATGTTTAAGAAAAGGAACTGCAGTTACCAACCTCTTACAAACACTTAGCCAGCCTGTTTTTATCTTTGTTCACATAGAAATGTTAGAAGAGTTTCCTTGCTTTGGTAACTCATGACAATATAATTGATACTGAATGTAGCTTCAGGCCTAAGGTCTGCTTATATCGACTAACTTTTTGATTCTTAGGTAAGCTGCTTTAGGAGTTTGTTTCCATTTCTGCCCAGAAGGTATAAATTCTTTCAGCATCTGTTGTGGGATGATTATAAAGGCCAGACGAAACCGTAGAGTCCAAAAAGCTAGAATGGAAATACCATGATTAAGTGAAAGATTGTGAGTATAAATAAGGAGATCCATAACTGGGTATAAAGCAAATTCCCTGGGTAGAATTTTAAAAGGATGTGAAGAAAGGTTGGATTTTAGAGGAAAGATATTCAACAGACTGTTTTGACTTAGGATTCAGACCTTTCAGCCATTCTGCCTTCAGAGCAGTCCTGAACATCTGTCATCTAGTAACCAAGTTGTCTGCTTTTCTTCTGCCAAAAAAGTATTTATTAGTTACATTTTGTCTTTTTAAGTAAAGTTGAATTTTATAAAATATTAGTTCTCAACTCTGTCTTTCATTTCTCTCTGGCCCCCAATGGGTGTGAAACAAGTCTCCACCTGCCCCAAGTAAACACTTTTTATTTTCCTAATCTTTTTCATCTTGGAAAATGTAGGGCAGCGTGCCATTTAAAACTTGAGCCTGACATTGTATTTTGTGACCCTGGGTCTATGTGTTGTGGGAGCATGGAGGTGTCATTTAGGTTGGACGGAACCTGATTCACCATCTTTTCTTCTACATTTCTGCATGAATATGGTGAAAATTACAGGAAAGAAATTTAATCATTTCTCTGCTTTTTAAAGAATGACTGGTTTGTAAGCCCCCACTTTTTTGTTAGGAACCACACTCCAATTCCTAGAAGAAACCAATAAAGCTATGTACAAATGCCCATTCTGCTTTAATGCTTACCTGATTAAATATATTTTTTCTGCTTGTGTTGGTAATACATGCTTGCAGAAAGGGCACTTAAATATTTTTGAATGTTTCTTGCCGGTCACTTTGCTACATGTTTGTGATCTTACATAGTTTTATTCATTCTCCGTGTAATTTGTATCTTGATTTTTTTTTCTCAGTCTACAGGCATTATTCCATGTCACTAAAAACTACATTGTATGGATGTGCCATGCTTTCTGTTGCCTTTCCCTGTTGGACATTTTAGGTTGTATCTCATGATGCTGTTACAGTGCATGTCTTTGTGCATAAATTATTTTCTTAGGATAAATTCCTAGAGATGAACTTCTGAGTCAAGGATGTAAATACTTCTGTAGTTTTTGGTGCACAGCACTTCTCCAAGTGGTTATGCTAACCATTTAGTAGGAGAAGAACTATCTAACCATATTTTCCAAGAATATATACCATTAACTGTATGCAGGCATCTGCATTAAGGCCTTCCACGTCTGACCTTGGTGAGCTGGGGTAACTGATTTGGAGATAATTGGCAGAGATTTTCCTGGGATGTCTCAGTTTCAAATATATCTGTATGATATGTTCCAGAAACACCTGCTTATAAGGGTATCCAAATGATTTTTCACATATTTTTACTTGCATTATGAAGTAGCCCGTTGTTACACTACGTTTTCCATTTTTAGTTAGAAAGTCTCGACTTTCTGAAACCACCTTTCCCTGGGGCCAGCCCTTAGTAGCCAGCTCTCTCTTTTTTTCCTCTTCCCTTAGGCTCCATTTTGGCCTTTCTGAGTTCCCCAAAGCCAGTAGGATCTTCTGAGCCAAAGGCAGCCCAACTCAAACTGGAAAAGTGGTAAGGCTAAAGCTACAACAAAAGCAGAGCTAAGCTTTGCTTTTTCATTTTTTTTCGTGTGTGTTTCCCACCCCATCTTGGTGTTCTCAGGGTAGCTCTAGGAAAAGAAAAAACAGATTGCTGTCTTCATTTGCTCAGGGTATTACTTTCTTGATTGGCATACCATGTTGTTTCCTGAACTGTTTCTTTTTGAATGGATTTTAAAGCTGCTTTTTATGTTTTCAAAGCTCAAATCTTTTACATGAAGTGTTGTGTTATAAAATATCTCTCTTATTTTGGCCTTCACAAACCATTCAACAAGATTTTGGTGTGTTTTAAAAGTGTATGTGGACTAGACTATATAACAGATTTGGTCCCATTCTTCAAAGTTCTTACAACAAGTTTTCAAAAATCAGGAATTCTTAGCTACTAAGAGATGTGCTAAGAAACTTACAAAATGTCACATTCCTTACTGCAGTCTTTCAAAGGAAAGTAGTGTTGTCTTTATGTTGCAAATGAAGAAACTGATAAATTTTGCAGTTGGACTTGGGTGTCTGAAACAGACCTATTAATTCAAAAGCCTTATGACTCAACTGAAGTGACACTAACTAGGTAGGCCATTTGGGAGAGTGGTGTGGTAATCTAGACATAAAATTATGAGAACTGATTTCAGGTGATGGCTACAGGAATAAGGAAGGAGTGGATGATGGAGCCATTTCAAAGGGAGACTTGAGAGTAAGTGGAAGTAGGAATAAGAGCTGAGTCCATTTCTCAGGGTAGAGTGGACAGCAGCCTTTAAGGGGGGACAGTGGTGAGTCTGATGATGAAGATGAGATTTCAGAAAGGAAGTTTTCAAGAAGCTGCTTTTTGTTCTGCGGCCTTACGGAGTGCAAGCTTCTCTGCCTGCGTTTTTCCTCTCTCTTGTCTCCCTCCTGTATGTGTCCTGGGCGCTCCCAGTTGCCTCACCACGCTTGCGCTCGTGCTCGCCCAGTCGTGACCGACTGTTTGTTCCCCGTTGGACTGTAGCGCATGTCACCTGCGTCACAGGTGGATTCTTCAGCTGCTGAGCCGCGGGGAAGCCCCCCGTCCACCCTCTCTCCTCCCTTACCGTGCTTGGCTGCAAGTTGATATTTTTTTGAATTTGCACCTAACTGCCTTGTCATAACGAATTTGGCTGTCTCCTAAAGGCCTGCCATAGCCTGCAGCTCTCACCAGTGTGGGCTGTGTCCACATTCCATGTATCTCAGGAGGTGGTGGTGACTGCCCTTCCTCTGTCTTGTAATTTCGAAATAATTTCCCAAGGCTTCTGACAAAAATCTGCCCTTTTGTTGCTCGTGTCAGGAAGTTATACTGTCAGTTACCTCTGCTCTTACCATCGATCATTCCCATTGATTTGCTGAAGGCCTCACTTCCTAACAGTGTACTTGGCCATCTCTGATTCTGTCATATTCTCAGTGACTTCATGTTCTGACAGATGATCCATCCAACACTGGCTGGTGAGATTTTTGGTTATCTTGCCTCCAACATTTTCTTCCATTGAAACTCCCTATTTTAACCCTCTCTATTTTCTTTGTACTAATTATCCAACTTCATTATCACATCCTTCAGCATGTTCTCAGACCCCTTTCTCAGTCACCTACCAGTCCTTGACACTGCATGGTTCTTTCCCCATTCTCATCAATTAATGCAAATATTGCCATTCCTTTTTTCTTTTTTAATTGAAGTATAGTTGATGTACAAAATTATGTTAATTTTAGATGTACTACATGATTTGATGTTTGCATGTATTATGATCACCATGATAAATGTAACCATTTGTCTCCATATGAAGTTACAGTAATGTATTATGCTGTATATTTTCATTCCTGTGGCTTATTTTATAACTGGAGGTTTATATGTCTTAATTCCCTTTACCCATTTCTTCTGCTCTCCAGACTCTCCCTCCTGGCAACCACCCATTTGTTCTCATACATGTAGGAGTATTTTCATTTCATTTGATTAGATTTCACATAGGAGCAAGATCACATGATATTTGTCTTTCTCTGGTTTATTTCACCTAGCATAATATCCTCTAGATCCATGCATGTTGTTGGAAATGGCAAAATTTCTTTTTTGTTGTTAATGGCTGTGTTATGTATGTATGCACTTTACCCATTCATCTGTGGGCACTTAAGGTGCTTCCATATACATTGGCTATTGTAAAATAATGTTGCAGTGAGTATTGATGTGCATATATCTCTTTGAAGTCACTTGACTTGCATCGCCCAGAAATGGAATTGCCAGATCATACAGTAATTTTACTTCTTAATTTTTTGAGAATCCCTCATACTCTTTTCCATTCTAGCTGCACCAGTTTACTGCAGCCAACAGTGCACAAGGGTTTCCTTTTTTCCACATCCTCGTTAACACTCTTTTCTTTTGTGTGTGTGTTTGATGACAGCCTACCGCTCCTGTTCAGAACACACCTTTCTTAGCAGGGGATCTTGTTTCCAAATTCAATCAGAAGATTCAGGACTTCAGCATGATTTCTTTTCCTCTGTGCTTACCTTCATCTTTTATTCCAGCCTCAGAGAATGAGTTGGGCCAAAGGCCAGTTCATCCCCGTGAACCTTCGACTCCTATGTCCTCTGT